AATTTTGATAATAATTAATGTTATAGTATTAGATAGAACAACTTTGAATTATATAAATAACCCTTACAAATGTTTATAATTTCCTTTTACTGGCATCACAATTTTTCAAGAATTTTTGCCGCTCCTTCCTTCTTCACTTCCCGATTTTGCATTTTTTTTTCTTTAATTTGGTATCCCTAATTTCTCTTAGTTCTGCTTTACTCTACCCATCCATCGCTTCTTTGAACAACCTCTTGGTCTCATCTGTGTGGAGTTTCACCGTTTTAAGGTACTCTGAGTCTGACCTCCTCATCACGTATTCAAATCATTTGATTCTTTGTGCTTTCACAAAGTTGGTTATCTTTGAAATTCCTGCCAATGCTTTGTTCCTTCTTCTGTGCCAACTTCCCAGTTCATTGTCTTGGATCACAGATTATCCTCAGTATTTTGTTTTCGAACGACAAAAGTGTTTGTTTCATTTTGCTTGTTAAAGGCCATACCTCACATCCATGTATTATGTTGGTATAATTATTTCCGTGTAGAGATATACTTTGGTTCTTCTAAAAAACAATCTAGACTTAAGGTGTTTGGTTAACGAAAATTATGCTTTTTTTTAAATATTTATAATATTACATTTAATTGCATAAAAATACTAAGCGATACTTATTTTCTAAATTCGTTAAAATTTGGGAGGTTTAACCCTCCCCCCGTTAAGAAACGAAATTATTATGCTTTTAAATTTACATCCTTCATACACGGTTCTTATAAATTAAAGAGACTCAATAAACGTATATGTATTTTTCAGCTCTATATATTTTTCACGCTTATATACTGTTTGAATTTAATAATAATGAACTTAAAAATATTGTACAGATTAACCTATATGATGTATTGAGTGTTCAATGTCACTCTTCTGTGTTTTGAATATTATTTTAGTTTTGCTAGAGAACCTTGTAAAACATATTTTAAATATTGTTATTGTATGAAGTTGATAAGCCTATCCTATTCACAGACAATACTATTACCGCACTGTGTTACATATTCACTTTTAACACAAAACATTGACATTTTCACTTCAGATATGGTGCAAAATTGGTGACTCTGAAGTACTACTTGAAATTAATATATTTTCGAAATGTCTTGACTGCCATGCACGAGTTTTATCTATATATACCAGTTATTTTTTTAAACTAGATAACTAGGCAACAGAAATGTTGCCCAGTGAAAATATTTTGTCGTCTAGTTAATAGTATTTTGAAAGACTGGGCGACATACAATTACATAAAATACATAAAATACTGTCAAAAGAAGAATATTCTCTAGTATATGTACATACTACATAATAATTAGGTAACCATGGTTTTCGTTTAATATCGTCTGTAGTCATACTGGTATTAAAACAAATTACATTTTAAATGCGTTTGTGTTGTTTTATAAAATTCCATATTATCACCGTCATCGAAACTTAATCCCATACAATTTAACAGACGCGTCATAATATGCCTTATAGAATATATTGATCGTAAAAGTCGCACATGATTCAAATTAAATTTTTCGAGCAATAATTTATTGTTTAGTATTCTGACACGGAACATTTTTACTGAGCAATGTCCGGTAGTGTAATATTATGGATCGTGCAGTATATGCAATAGATATATACATTTAATATTACGGCATGGTAGGTATAATATCGATGTCGATTTTATCATATATGTAACAATTTGTACGACGCATAACAACAGGCAAGTATAAATAACAGATGCCAAAATCGATTCCATGCGTCATGCACTTAATATAATAATACGAGTATATTCTATGAATAAAATACTAAACGTACCTAGTATATGATTTGTTATTATAATTCTCACATATTATATTTGTGCACATTGTTGGTACACTATATTGTTGATCAATGATTATGTATAGCAGCTGTGTTGAATAATTTAAACTATTAGAAAAAAAATGAAATAAAACTAGAAGTATAATTTGTACTCCGTTGTCGTAGTTGTACCTACGCGGTAATAACGTGCGTATTCTTTATTCTTATCTTGTACTTGCATTTTTTGTTAAGATAGTCGGTTTTTTTTTTTTAATTGAAAATGTCTAATTTTACATTGCATTGGTCTTAAAAAATGTATAAAATTTGCTGCATGCGTAGAATCGGTAAATCAGAAATGGAATGCACTCAAGTAGAAATCTGAAGCGGAAATGTTGTTTTGACCCTGAACTGCGTACGACCGAATCATAATTTTATATCTGTTTAGCAACCCATACCTGACCCAATGTCTGTCGATATCTATGTACTTACAAACATAGGATACCTACCGCTTTTCCCCCGTAATTTTATTTATTTGAGGCAGCATTTGTTTTGATACAATCGGCCAATTAGTATTGTTTGCGAATTCGAAATGTCAACATTATGAATACTTTCTGACCTTGTACAAATCCAATATAAAAAGCGTTCGACGCATGAGTTTGTGTGAGCGTATGTACTTAACTGCATTATTTTCTCCCACTCATTTTCGCCCGAGCTGCATTCGTCGTTGCATTTTGCGAATTAAATTTTAGTACATAAGTCTAGTCATAACACATATAATAACTAAACTCATCTCGTTCCATTATTAAATGTTCTTATAAGTATTGCAATTAATAGGTAGATACGATCAAACATTTTTGTGAATAATAACTGACTTTAAATTTCTGTTATTATTCCGTTTATAGGTATATCATTAATAGTTAAGATATAAAGTTTTTCAATCATTACAAAAACATTAAAATTCCATTTTCAAACATAATTACACGAGTCACTTTATACGTATAAACTGGTATATTTTTTTTTTTTTAGTTTTATTTTATACTTCGTTAAATTATCAACTCTCGTTCAAATAAGAACAATGAATGTATTAAGAATTTTAATAATGTAATTAAGCGATACACTGCGGTAAACAAATTAATGAATAATTAAAAATAAAATATATTGTTTATTATAATTGTTATACTCTATAATTTGTTCAAACTAGTAGTCTTATTTGTTTCACATTTCAGTAAAAATGTATATGAAAACTTTTCGTAAAAAAAATCACAATATTATTTGTTTATTCAATAATACAATTTAACAACAATCGTGAATATTGTAATAATAATAATTTCACCTATAATTTTTGTTTTTATCGTTTAATCAATAAATGTAACTCTAAGTACAATGTGTAAAGCTTTTTTTGGTTTATGATAAAATAGTAACAAATGTTAAGTGTATTAATTTAATTTTTTATATATTTAATATGAGTCATATGATTTTTTTGATAAAACTATATATTAATCAGATGAAATAATTGTAAGCAAAAAAAAATTCAGTAACATGCTTCCATACCTGCGATGTAATGATAATTTTCTTAACTTCAAACATTGTCGCCATTTAATCAATTATTTTCACTATACAAAACACAAAAATACTATCATAAGATCAATTTTGATTTTTTACATTCAATTTTCTCTTTCAAAGAATGCTTTATATTGTTAGCCATATGAAATCAAGGGCATACGAGTCAATGGTTGAAAAGAGGATACCTATTATGCAGCGAATAGAAGTGTTTTGAAGGTCGTATCATTATGTATATTTTACATTTGTAGAGGTGAAGGCCGCGTGGGAAATTTCACTCTTAATATTCGGAAAGCAGTCCCACATAAGTTTTATTAATAATCATATTGATTATTGTAGGTTACGTGAACATCGTGTTAGTATGAGCATCGATGATGTAAATAAACCACTGCTGAAGCGAATATAATTTTTACATTATAAGTTTAATTATACTGCTTATCATGATACTAGATGATTTACTCGGCCACTAGCTCATGGTCATGTAATAGTTTTAACGCACCACAAGTTAATGTTTGTTATCTACCCTCTAAAACATTGTCACTGTGCACAGTTTTATAATATGATAAAAATATAATTATATCTTATATTGTAATTATTAATCATCCATGACGCGAAGTACACCAAAAAAAAAAAAAAAAAAAATACAAATGCTTATACCCATCTAGAACTATTTATACATGCTGTCCAATTTACTGTGACGGCGTATGAAATGTTAATTCAATTATTTTCACGTATATTCGAGTGTACCTATCCGAAACATCTATCTTACGCATAATGTAATTCATACTGTTAATGTATAATTCATACCTGTTTTATAGTTTTTTTCCTCGAGTTGAAACGATACTTATGTATAGTATTTATTATGGATATATGTAGGTACAATAGGTACAATGTCCTATTGCGCATTTTATTATGGCATGTAGGTAAAACGGATGGTCATATAAAGAAATATTTCGTTGCTGGTAAATAGAATATAATTTCTAAAATAAAAACTTGTGATACGCACTCGAATACCTGTATATAAAAATAGGTACGTATAGTTTCCAAAACGTTAGCAGACTATGGATGTCAGATGCTCATTCGAGCCAAACAAGAATCTTGTTTTGTTATGGATAACTTATAAACTCGATTTTTATTATTCTTACACATTTTTTTTACTGCAGTTGCCTATCGTATTTCCTTCACTTGTCCACGGCTGGTAGAAATAGTTTAATTGATTACGATTAATATTAAAATACATGTTTTTATAATTGTATATTGAACTGTGTGTGTATAGAACTTCGTTGTTAATCAGATGAAGTTTATACCAGTATCTATTTAGTATATTAAGATATCTACCACACCGCATATAGGGAAAGCACCGGCCCATCGAATTTTAGGACCTTGACCAGAACAAAAAAAAAAAATGAATTTCTTTAGATTGGTTTTTTTATACTTTATTAATTCCACTTTTAATATAGAAGTGGACAGTTGTAATAATAATAAATTCCATGTGGTTTGCCGTCGAGCCCTATCCCAGCCTGGATATTTACTGGTTGTGTAACTTATCAATATTACCCTTGTTATATTATATTATTATTATTACCTATTAAATTTGTTTATATTTGTTTTCATTTATATATGTATGTATATTTTATTTCAGGTTTACGATTGGACAATAATATATCGCTGAATTCAATGGGTCCTCAGTCACCTTTAGATCTAAAACCTGACAGAGCGAGTTTAATGGTTAACTTCAGCCCTCCAGGAGATCCTCTAAGTCCCGGGTAAGCATAACTAATTCAGCTTTTTGAAACTTCTGATACGTTCCATACGGAGATGTATGTATAAACAATTTTATTAATAAGTAATTTTTGCGTTAAAAACTCATAGATTACTCTATAAGAAAAACTCATTATAAAACTTATTATATGTTACAATTAAGATTATTACATTATTATTCTATAAAAGCTTGGAGTAGGTATGGGATTTCATTTTATATAATGTTTGATCAAATGTATGAGTATAAAATTTACATAGTAGGTAGGTATATGTTTACTTTAATTCAAGTCAAATTAATAAAAACCTATCTTTTGAACACAGTAATCAATTAATTAAACTTATACAAGTACCTACTGATGTTATTTACATATATAGTTACATTTGAAGTAGATCTTGATATAATAAGACTCAACGTTTTGAAAACTATTCCGTTTAAATTTCAAATCGCAAATGAAGTTAACCTTTGATTATAAAGTATAAGGGTTGCAAATATATGTCGATGAAAATAATCTTTAGCTTAATATTTTATTTTTTATTCGTTTTTAAACAATGAATATTGTGTGTATTCACAGTAAAAACTTCGAAAAAATCCATTAAATGTAATCAACAGTAAATCATCCAGTTTAGCTGTAATATCCTGCACTGTTATAATATTATTTTTGGCAATATAATTGAATGATGCATAATATCAAATGGTAATAGCAAGAATGACAAATTCTCACCTCTATACATTTAAACTGTATTTATAAACGGATTAGCATATATTTATATACTAGTTTGTGTGTTGCTACTAATCGAGAATTATTATTATAATACATTATACTTGTATCAATTAAATGTTCTCTATGTATTTTTACTCATTATGATGTTATAATATGTTCATTATTGTCAATCTAGATTCTAGACGATCAGAATAAATTATTCCGAGTTCAATTGAATGTATAAAATGGAAACATTATATAGTTGCGCAGTTTTTTTCTAATTACAAAAATATTCTCGTACCAGACCCTCTGTAGCGTATAATCTAAAAAATCAGAAGCCTTGAATGTCGATTCAAGTCGCCGGTGACGTTATGTAAATATATATTATGTACCTTACAGAGTCATTTTTAAAACCATGTAGTATTTTGTCTTCGCGTTCGTTCAATTTAACCTCTTTTCTCCGTCTACTCCGAAAAATGAGATTCATCAACTGATAAAATTGTGCTTTCGAGACGAGTTTTTTTTTTTTTGCCAATTTAATATTACACATCTGCTATATCATTGTGCCACATAAAATAATTCTGTAGTGTAACGATAGATATTGTGGTCGGTATAATGGGTATAATGATATACTCGTATAGTAATATTTTTAATGGTGCGATGGGCAACTTAATAGCATATTTTTTAATATATTTTTGTCTTTATTTTAACTATTATACTTCTATTATCACTAAGTTAACTTTATGATCATCAGTACTAGTTTGTTTCACCGAAAAACAATGATTGTTAGAAAAAATAATTAAATATTATGTTTTTATATACAGCGGGCATCGCATAAATTAATATCTACTAATTACAAAAGCCGTTATTATTTTTATTTTCTGAATACACTTTTTATCGAACTTTAAAATCCACTATCACATGTAATGAACACATAGACACATAGACGATAAATTAATTATTGTTATCTTTTTTTCATTTAGTAGTCTACACAGTAGTTTTAATTACCTACTAAAAATTGAATGTTATATTATCTAATGTTACATCAAACTCGATTCATTTCGTTAACATTATCAATAGTGCCCCATCGACGTGTTTAACAAACATGCAGATGACCTAATAATAATATAACAACCAGTATTATAGTTTAATCATCATTGTTGTGTTTATACGTTCGTTTTCCCCCTTTAACAAGACGTGTTCATCAATTATTTTATTCCTTTATACGTATTTTGCAACACTATTTATGTTGCTTCTCAATTGTGAATTAATTTTAATGAATATCAGTTCATATATTTGAAGTATATATTCCATGAACCATCAAGACAAATACTTGTTTTGACGGGCAAATATTTTATTCTTATTTCTCATAATTTTATTTGTATTTTAATAGTATACACAGAAACGATGTGTGCGTGCGCACGCGCGCGTGCGTATGAGCGCTCAGTGTTGTACTGAGTGTTCGATTCAAATAGCGCGTGTCGTTCAGAAATATTTTAACTTTATAACGGTTCATTAACTGCTAGCAGATTTTTGATTACTTGCGAAAATTACCTTTTTTCATTAAAACGACCAAAATGTATTCCAACTCGTACACCATGTATTCTAGTGACAGGTATTTATAATCAATCAAACCTCATGGTTTAAATTATTAAACTTCTATATTAAAATATCATTATTTTGTATATTTAAGTTCGTAACTTTCAGCAGTATATTGTATTTTATATATCACCCTTTTCTAATATATAGATTACCTATAGGTATAATGACAATTATTGAGATTTAATCATATTTGTTTGTTTGTAGTTTACCATCGTGTTTAATATCCATAAATAATTACTAATATTATAATATAATTTATGTATTCAGTGGATTTTAAAATGTGTTTACGATATTATGTGAAACTATGATATTTTCCCTATTGAATGAAATTAATAATTTAAAAATCTTAAAATTAATAAATATAAATGGGTATAAAAAAAAGTTTACTTTATATTTAATAACATTTATTAGCCATAAGAATATTACTACTAAATATAGTTGAATTTAGTCATTATTGTATACAGTTAAAAACTTATAAATACCGAAGAATGTAAATTATAATGTAGCTATTCCATTCTTATGTTGTGAAAAACATTTTATTTGTTCATATTTTTAAGTTAGTTTTTATTTTTATTTTATTTTAATTAAATACGGGCTTGGCCCACAAATTACAGTATTAGGTATTTATTACTCATAGTTTGAATTTGAACTTTAAAAAATCAATCCTATTATAGAACATAAGAAAAAAAATTTTAAATTGTTCTGACCTCTTAGCCCTATAAATTGTAATTTATATTATATATAATCAATATTAAATACCCTTATTATTTGTACTTAATTTTAATTAAAAGATAAAACTAGTAACACATATTACCTATGGTACTTTTTCTATTTTTGTTTGAAAAATGTGCTAAAATAAAACTGCTCAAAGAAGGTTCCTGTTTATTATATTTATTTATTATAGTTTTACAACAGTGCGTGTTATTTTGCACTTAAGTTTTATTCAAAATTCACATTGGTTTGAGATATCGTCATTCAGGACAGTACGTTTATAATAAGTGATATTAACCCTCTTGTGATTTATGAACGATACTAGAAAGTCAAAGATGTGCCAAAAGTGTATTAGTAGGAAACAATTGAACAAAAATAATATCATATGAAAACGGATATCTATTTCAATATTATGTTATATATATTCATCAATAAATTATGATGTTTCGCAAAATATATAAAAGATATTTAAAAAATTTAATTTCAGTAAAAACAGTAATTATTCAATTATTCGATTAAATATTTATTATTTATGTCAACCGTGTACATGATGTAGTGTGCGAATTCAAAAACCCGACAGTTGTAAATAATAAAGTTAATGGAACTATTTAAATTTAATTAATATTCGATTAACTCGAATTAAAATCGGATTTGAAATCGTTGTGAATGCTATAATAATACACTAGAAAAATATATTACAAAATTACTCCGTAACGCATATGATGCACAAATAGAGGTTAATGATTTGCATAAATTGTTAATTTTTCATTTTAAATACTTAACCAAATTGAATATTTTGGATTGTTATGAAATGTTTTCATCATAGTACTTACGAATTAACGGTTGTTTGTGTTTCTGAATTAGAAATGTCGTTTGTCTACAAAAACGTTCCTTACGTCTAAACGGATAATATTATATGACAACATTTTAATTTTGTTATACAGGCTGTACAACGTGGACAGGAGCAACAATATGATGAACAATGCTTGCAACGTTCAAGATTCTCCAAATTACCCACCCAATCATCCACTTAGCGGGTCGAAGCATCTGTGTTCGATTTGTGGCGATCGCGCCAGTGGAAAACATTACGGGGTCTACAGGTAAAATTCACCGCTATATTCTCTGTTAATCGTTTCATAACCGTTTTCGTGTACCTACCACCAATCAACCAATTTGCATTTATTATTTTTTCACCGACATATTTCCGTACCTGTCTCTGTTTATGCGTGTATAGTTGCGAAGGCTGCAAAGGGTTCTTCAAACGCACGGTGAGGAAAAATTTGTCTTACGCGTGCCGCGAGGAGAACAAATGCATAATCGATAAACGCCAGAGGAATCGGTGCCAGTACTGCAGATATCAGAAATGTCTGACCATGGGCATGAAAAGAGAAGCTGTCCAGGTATGTTATTGTTAATTGAAGATATGCGTGGTACTGATATTTGTGCGCGTGCTCAAGTCATAAATCATGACCAATGAGTATTGTTCGACAGTCATCAATCCAAATAATCGCTGTTGCGAAATCGTTTTGGAAATACCATGCACGTTTATGGGTATATTACGGACAGATGTAATAATACAAGTATAATGGTTTCATTAGCTCCGTGCTGACCTATAACGTTTCATATTTTCTCGTCTACGTTTAGTTTTCACCCATTTGTTTGTCTATACATTTCGTTTCAATGGTTATACACCTATTACCATAACTGTCTGTGCTCATCATTATTACAGTGTTTGAACGATGTGGTCATTAAACGCTTACAATACATTCTTATATAGTTCAACTAAAAAAGGCCGATGTAGGAACTATGTGATTTTATTGGAACCAGGCACTGTAAACATTTCAATTATTGGAACTTTCAAGTTCCAATAATTATTAATAAATTGGCGTTTACAGTGTTTTTCGACAGTGTAATTTTGCCTGTCTTAACTTCAAAACCCTTAGACTGAATAACATTGAATTGATTTTTTTTTTTTTAATTAAATGTTTTAAACTCCATATTTCAATATTAAAAAAAAAAAAAAAAAATTAAAATAAACAAATCTAATAAAAAAACAACTATTACAAAGTTAAAGTTTTATATTCAGTTTTCACGATCATCATTGAAAATATGTAACATATAACAACCAAAAGTGGTAAGTCCTGACATAATGGGATATGGGTTATTGAAGTGTAAAATATTTCACACCGTATTGTAAAGTATTTAATTTTCATTCATTAACTAATATGTTTATGTTCATATGGGCGTAGCTGAACATTTGAACAATGAAATATGGGGAGTCTGGGAGTAAATATTTTCAAGTATAATATTACTGGCACTTATTTAAAATATATAACTAGTACAAAGTATTTTTTTTTGTTATATGCACGAAATTTTAGTTCGATAAAATGAGTTTAAATTTTAAATTAAACTGCAAAAGATACGTAAACATATTTATATCTTTAAAAATATATTTTTCAGTTCATAGTTTAAAATAGGTTAAAAATAAATATTATGTTTTTCATCATGCACGTTTCTATAATATGCTTGTTGTAAAACAAACTGCAATCGAAAGGTATTTATACATTAGTTATTTAACACTGTTGCGGTGTGTCTATTTCGAGAGTTTATAAAAATATAATGAAAAAAAAAACCTTATAGTTATGGTCATCGAGTGTTCAAATAAAAGTTGAAAATTCATATCATATACGTAATATACTTACATACATATACGTAACATACAACGTTTTGATTGCATATGCTTCCGCATTTTCAATATAAAATTAATCGTTCACCGAAAATAGCAACTCCGGATAAGGTTTTATGGCTTTAGGAGATCGGCTTACGAACAATATTCATTCGTATTGTTGGTCACTAAAATGATATTTTTTAATTATGTTCTTTTTTTTTTTGCCGTAGTTACAATAAAAAATATGATGAAAAAGAAAATTAGTTCTTTGTCTTCTACACATGTATACGAATACAATTGATTAAAAATATTTGTACTCATTGTATTGATTTATGATGATTACTTTAGCGAAAATCATTACATTAATCGTTACAAATTTCTACGTTTACGACAAATTATATAGTGATTCACGAAACACGGACTATATTATTATACTGTCGTCCATCTAGGTATCGGCCAATTTCATTAGGTATAAGTTAAAATGGTTGATAAAAAATATTCTATAACATAAAATGTTGGACGTGACAGTCAATAGTTATTGTTATCTGTTGATAGGACCAAGTTGGATTTCACTAAGGACGAAAACATTATATACGTATCCTTTACATTCGTGTCACCCCATCCCCTACATGAATTCGACCCTGGTTAGACGGTGAAATAATAAATCATCGGTTTTTTTTGTGTGTGTAATCGAAATCCACACGGTGTACTATAGATGAAATACCGCGTTATAGGTATACGTGTCCGAAACAGAAAATCTGTGCACAGCACGAAAAATGCGTTTTATAGCCCCGGTCATAGAAGAAAAGGCATTTGTTTGTAGCAGGTACCTGTCGCATAATAATAATAATAATGATAATATATAGTTGAAAGCCGTCCGTAACGGAATTTTTTTTCCCTTTTTGTCGTCCTGCACTAATGCTTTTCACCAAAAACAGAAAATAGTTGTCGCCTCGTGCCCGGCCAACCGACAGTCATTTATTGCTGTGCTCTCTTTCAGTAGTGAGCCTTTTGCGTTGCGTGTAAATGTTCTAATAATCCTGTGTTTTTACGATGCCTTTCTGCGTGCCGTACATGCCTCCTCTTTCCCATCACGGGCGGCGACATTTCACGGTGAGTTCGATTACATATTAGTACTTACTATTATTTCATATTAGCGTTATTTTACTCCATTACGAGTACCCATGACGCCGTGTGCTTTTTACGCAGCGGTGCTATAGTAGTGTTAAAGCAAACACTTGGTTTGTCTAATGTTTCCGATTTAGGTGCATGTTTTCGAAAATCAAGCTTTAGAATGCCGAGTTTTAGAATGACAATATTTAGAAAATCTATATTTTAGAATATGAAACTTTTAGAAAATTTGTGTTTTAGAATATAAAATATTTTCAATCGTTTATCATCCTGGTATACATTTATTTATCACCAAAATTCAAAAAGAACAACACGAAACTGAAGCAACAATCGAATCGTTGATTTCAAATAAAGTGGATATTTAAGGAAAGAAAAAACAATGAAACACGGAATAATAACTTATTGCAAATATGTAAACGAATATTTGATGATTCTAATTATAATTTAGATGAATTTATGAGAGCTATTGCTAATAATCTTAAGTATTAACAATTATTATATTTATTTTTTATTATAAAAGAACTATTAGAAAACATTATATATGTGAGTAAACAGCATAAAAAATAAAAATATTTCTTAAAATTTAAATTCTAAAAGTTTTATTTTCTAAAACACAGTGTTTCTACAACTTGATATTCTAAAACCCAGCATTCTAAAATATGACTTTCTTAAACCTGCTTCAATACCAATGTTTCCATTTCTCGATGGCGGGGACACATAGGACTGATATAAACGACGTTTTCCGCCGACATGGCGACGTAGAATAGATCCAACCTACTGTTACTATATTTATATTCTCTCTCGTCCGATAGTTTTTTAGTGGTGCCTGGGTTCCAGTATTTATGTATGTGTATGAAATTGAATTGAATGACATCAATTCGAAATCGCGGTATTATAATAAATCATAACGGTTCGTTGCGTTGCGATTACATTGCAGGAGGAGAGACAGCGAACCAAAGAACGTGATCACAATATCGAAGTCGAGCCGACGAGCAGTTCCAACACTGACATGCCAGTCGAACTCATATTGAGGGCCGAGAACAAAGCCGACGCTATTAAGACTGAACAGCAGTACATTGAGCTACAAGTGAGATTTACAAAACCAACGCGACAACATAGTATTATTATGTGTACCAAACGCAACGTTTTTAATTATTTTGTTTACGTTTTTTTTTTTCGTTTAGCACCCTCAGCACACTGTTGGTGCTATTTGCCAAGCGACCGACAAGCAGTTGATACAACTTGTTGAGTGGGCCAAGCATATACCTCATTTCAAGAATTTACCTCTCGGCGACCAAGTCTTGTTACTGAGGGCTGGTAGGTATTTTGAATTTGCATTTATAATATTTACTGTTTTTCAATTACTTTTTATTTACATCACATCATTTTTATTTTTCTCAGGTTGGAACGAGTTAATGATTGCAGCATTTTCCCACAGATCCATTAACGTGAAAGACGGTATTGTCTTGGCAACTGGACTCACTGTTGATAGAGATTCCGCTCATCAAGCTGGTGTTGAAGCCATATTTGATCGTGTACTCACTGAACTTGTTGCTAAAATGAAAGATATGAACATGGACAGAACAGAGCTTGGCTGTTTACGTACCATTATTCTATTCAATCCAGGTAACGTACCAGTCACACTATTTGTAGAAGTTAACTGTCTAAATAAAAACAAATTGTTTGTACCCCATGATAATTATTATTTTTATAATAGGCTCCAAAGGATTGCAATCTGTGAATGAAGTGGAGATATTGCGTGACAAAGTATATGTTGCTTTAGAAGAATATTGTCGTGTAACACATCCAGATGAACCCGGTCGATTTGCAAAATTACTTCTACGGCTGCCTTCATTACGTTCTATTGGTTTGAAATGTCTAGAACATTTATTTTTTTACAAACTTATTGGAGATTCTCCAATTGATACGTTTTTAATGGAAGTTCTTGAATCATCACATGATGTGCAAGTTGCCACATGATTTAAAGCGATTCTGCTAGATAAAAATACCATTGTGCAGGATGCTAGTGGTTTATTATAATTTAAATATTAATATTATAGATTAAATGTTTGATAATTGTCTTTTTTAAGTATTAATTTTAGAAAATTGTCTACAGTTTTATGACAGATCACTTGACCAACCCACTTATATATTATCTTTATCACAATATGTAAATTAAAATGTATTAAATGTTCATGAGAATAAATTAATTAATGATTGAATTGTTGAATTTTATAGATTGGAAATACTTACATTTATTTTAATTCTAAATACCCAATAGTGAAAAAAAGAAAACAATTATATCATTAATATCCTGTACTATACATTTTTTCCTTTTAAAATAAAACAAACCAACTATTATGAATATAATTTTCAATATATTAAATATTAAGATAAATTATTGGAAAAATGTATGGATATATGGTTAACAAGTAATAGTCTATTATCTTAATTGGTTGTTTATTTATATTGTAGTCAAAGTCAAGATATTACAATAGTATTTATTCATTATCTTAAAATTGTCTGACTAAATGTACTTTTTAATAAGTGGTAGAGTCATATAAATATATTTTAAATACTTTATTAAATCGCTGATTTAAATTTTTTATACTTTTTTGAAAGCATACCAAGGTAACGAGTCTATAATCCTTGAATACAAATATTGAAATGATCGACAGCAGGAATAATTATTTTACAAAAACCAAAGATATTGCATAAACAATAAATTATTATAATCTATTTAATTAATTTTTAAATTTTTCTTGATAATATTTTATATTTTTCAAGGCTTATAGAATTCAAAAATTGTGCACTTCATTATTCTGTCTGTTCTATCTGCAAATTTTAATACATTTAGTATCAGTTATTATGTAATTTTAATGCAGTATAATTTATTAATGAAGTTTAATTTTTCAATATTTTGATGAAGCTGGTTAATAAATAACTTTTTATTTCTATGTATTAATATGTTATTATTTACATTCAATGTTAGAATATTAACAAATTGTTTCATTAGTAAGTCTTAAATTTCTAATTAAAAACAATTTTTGAAAGAAATATTTTTATTATTTATAGCAGTAAAATGATTTGTTAAATTTAAATAATCTAGTTATTCAAACTTTCCAGAAAAGTGATAACATATTGTTTAAATTGTTTATTGTATATTTTGTGTTAACGAATGTTCATAATTTTCAACACAATATTGATCCCAATAATAAGAACTGTTACCTATGGTATGAACTTTTCTTTACCCTTAAAATGGAATAGATTAAATAAATGATAATTTTGTTATGAGTTTTACTAATCAGAGAAGACTTTTATCTGGTTGAAACCAGTTATTTTAAAAATAACAATTGTGTAATCAAATGATATTACATTATTCAAATACTACTCTATGTTATATATGTACAAAATTATTGTAACAATAATTTTTCTTTAATTGTTTATTTACTTTTTATTACTCAATTAACTTATATGTATATATATATACAACTTATACTTAAATTATTTATTACTTTTTATAAGATTTATTTTGGTAATAAATACAAATATGCACACAACAAAAATACCTGTATCTCAATGTTTCAGAGTGATCAAAATCAATATTAAAATAATTTGTTATTTTATTATTTATAAGATATTAAACTTTCTAACAACAAAAAGTTGTAGACAACCTTTTTGAGTGTTGATGTATAATAAAAAATGTTTATGTAATTTATGTAAAATTGACATTCATGGAATTATTGTTAATTTTCCATAATAACAGTAGTATATCCAATTAGTTGTTGTCATTGCCGTTTAATGTTATTAACCTTAGTTTTCAATATTTGAATTTGACTGCATAAGTAAAAAAGCTATTAAAAAACCCATAGAGTATTTTTATTGGAAGTATATCTTAGTTATGAAATACGTTTTTATTGTAATTTATTTAAAAACATTACGTCAAATAAAAGTTATGATTTATAAAACTTCATATTTTTATTTATATGGAACATAGATTTGTTTTCAACCATTACCTACTTAAATTTATTCATTTAATACAAAATATAGAGTAATTTGGCCAACTACTTAACAATAACAAACATTTTAATTAATTAAAAAAAAAAAATAATTTTTACATTTTATTGCTTACATTTTCATTTTTTATACCAATAGATCTTATCTGAAGTTATACATTTAAAAACAGTATCACATAAATGATAAAAATTACATCTGAAGTGAATGTATGAATGAAATGAAAGCATCAAATTTGGTAATTACGTATGCATTTCTTTTAAAATATACAATATTATACCAAAAATACATATTAGGCATTAAAAATTAATTTTGAACTATTATTTCATGTAATTATATAAGGTACACGAAATTGTATTATTTTATTTTTATACCTCATTATACTAAGGAATTTATATTTATAATAAATTAAAAGAAACTTGTATTTTTTAAAAAATTATATTTTATTGTATGATATTCATAATTATACTATTAAACTATTTACTATTATATTTAACAAATAATCTACAGTAATATTATATGACAATGTAAATAATTATTAATTATTAAAATGATGGTTATGGTATTAAGTTGTACAAGAAAAATAAGTTAGCAAATAGTATTTTAGGTTCCTAGTATTTTTTATGTGACTAGCTGTCTTCTAATTACTTATTTTCTTATTATTTATATACCTACATTTATACACACGCAAACACACATACCCACACCCACACACATAATTTTTTAAGAAGAATATATTTTTTTATTGTAAGTATTCTTAATACTATCTAAAATTGTTACAAATGTTTCATTTAAATTATAAAAATATTTCAAACTTTTGAAAATATAGATTTACTGTAAGTTATATAAAGAACTATACTTATTTTTTATACAATGTAAATTTTTATACAATAAAATCTTGTATTGTTTACCCTTTGGTCGGCTATCAATTTGATATTGGTAGTCATTGGATCAACTATTGTTATGAAACTTATATATTTAATTCTGTGAAACCCTAGTTATCTATTTACCCACACAGTAAAAAAATATTGTGATAACCTCACCATTAATAGTTATTAAAAATGTTAACATTATTTTAAATTTCATTAAGTGGAGATTGATTTTAATTTCAGAAATATTATCAAAGAATTACTACGTAGATTTTTTTTGTCAAAAAATTAATGTTGCCGTAATAATAAATCAATATCACAACAATTGTTATAATCACATAATATGATACATTTATATTTATATAGGCATAGTTATTGTAATATATTATAAAGCTAATATTATGACAATATTATATTATTGTTGTTATATCAATACCTAAATTTTACTTAGTTTCAAAGAATTCAAATTCCTCAAAATGCAAGACTTGCATTAATTAGCTACTAAAAAAATGTAAAGTTTATTGAGTATTTAGAAAAACGAAAAGTTTTTCGAAGTAAGTATTCTTAAATATCAAAATTATTTTATAAGTTATTGTAATAAAAACTCTTAATAGGATTATATTCGTAAGGAATAGAACTAGAAACTGATAGTATCGAAATTGAACAGCTAGAAATAGATAGAAGATTTTCAGTTGGAGTAAAATTTATATCTAAGCATTCTTTGATCTTCCTTCAATTAGTACAACTACTTACTTTTTATCATTTTCATAAAAACTATAGGAATATTAAGATAATAGACGATTATTTCAAATAAAACTTGTATTAATAATCAGGTGTGGATCTAGAAATGAAAAAAGGGGTGCTAGTAAAGTTAGTTACTGCCATAATTCATTGCACATGTCAATTTGTAAGAAGACTTTCATAAGTTTAATTTTTAAATATTTTAAGTACTTACATCCGATATGGTTCTACCTAATGTCTAAGGGGGGGAATTCAGCCTCCATAGTCCTCCTTGATAATAACCTGTTAATAATATATATATGCTACAGACTACAGAAGTAAATTAATTGTGAGGAAGTATTAAAATATAAAATGTAAAAATATTAATTTAACTTTACATATAAAATAGATAGTATAAATATAAGAATTAATACTAACAAAAACTCAATTCTCACGTATGAATGAAATATATTTATATGTAATATGCGGATCAATTACCATGAATGTTATTAAAATAAATTATAAAAACAATAATTAAATGTAGCAAAACTTAAGTATTATTGTTATTATTCTAATGTTTATTTACATGTGTGCAAATGTACAACTGTACATGTACAAATATGGACAACAAGAAATAGTGACGAAAGGTGAAAGTAACAATAACACAAGCTAAATACTTTAAAATATTGAGTAAATATTCAGTACAGGAATATTATATTATTATTATGTGAGTATAATGAATGCAATTTTATGATTTCAAGTATAATATAAATCAAAAAACACTAGAGGAAAATACGAATATTGCATTAGGAAAATTATAGGAAAAATAATAAAATATAGGTAAATATAATAACATTCACTACAACACGACAACGACGAATGTAATTGGCGAGAAAAAATCGGACAAGTCAATTATCGGCATAATGGTTGATAAGAAACGATAAGAAGAGAACTAATGTGAAATCAGTAAAATTGTTAAAAATGTCAAAAATGACTTAAAAAGTAACAAACACCAAAAACTGCAAAATAAAAATTAGTTGTTAAGGATTCACTTGCTGATGAAACACATTTATGGCCAGGAGAGCGTCGTCTAAAAAGTTAAAAAAAAAATGAAAAATGCATCAACTTCATAATTATATAATAAATAAATACACTACCTAACCAATTTTTGTTCGATTGTAAATACTTAATATAAAATCAATAAATAATAACTTTATTTGTCTTCACGTATAACAAGTTACTTTTTGATCGTCAATTATTCAAAATTAAGTTATAATTATAAATATAAAAATAAATAATACACTGATTTTTTTCTACTCTTAATACATAATATAATAAAAAATAAATAAATTTAAAGTTTTAACATTTACATTATAATTCACATTTAAACTATTTTACAATAATAAATTAATTTTATTAAAAATATTTTCATATCTGAAGGTAGGCAAATTTGAATAGCGCATTTGGTATATTGACGGTAGTATATATGGAGTGCAATTGGTACATTGACTTTTGTTATTTATTTTATTGCTATTATAATGTGAACATTTTTATTATGTCTCAGTACAAAAAAGCTCGTACCGTAAAAAAAAAAAAAAAAACAAAATAAATAAACTGGAAATGAAAGCTCTATTAAGTATGGCTATAAGGGCTAGAATAAATCGGTCTATGTATGTAATCTTACAATGTTATACACTATAGTAAGCCAGAGGCGGAACTAGGGAGAGGAAGACAGGGATTCATATACGGGCGTAACATTTTAGAGGGTGTAATTTTTAAAATAATGTATATGTGTAACTTATAATTGACTACTAGTTTAATATATTTTACTTTTTTTAATGATAATTTGTTTAAAACTCAATAAGTATGATTGTATACTTGTTATTAGAAAACAATTGTTGGGAAGAGTATTTGATTCTTTGCCTATGATAGGGCGTAATTTAAATATTTCCTTGGGCGTAAAAATGCCTAGTTCCGCTCTTGATAGTAAGTACCTAATAATGAAATATGTACAAATCACGTAGGTATCCGTAAACGTGCGCGGCAATAATACGAATATCGAGTTGATAATTGTAGTGGGATAATCACCGTACACTGCATTTTTCGTACTTCACTTGGTTCGTGAAACAATAAAATGCGCTCGCGCGTCTAGATCATTTTTGGATTGTTTAATCGCACGATATCGCCCGTGTGCTTGTGCCGCGCGAAAACACCCAACTTCCTATCTTGAGCTGCGTACACACGTTCAGTTTTTGTATAAAACTTGATTGAACAGGACTGGTCGTTCAGGCAAGTCCTAACGTATGTACCGGAAAACTATGTATGCCAAAACTGAAGTGAACTGTCCTCCGGAGTAGTCGTAAAACCTAACCTAACTGATTAAATCAGATTGAAAATAATTAAATTTGTTCGTTCACGTCGCGTTTATCGCACGTTGGGTATTAGAAAACATTTTTGTACGCGATAAACGCGTTGACTAGTTACCTAATCGCGATACCGATGGCAGATAGCAGAGAGTGACGGTTAATCGAATTTGCACTGCACATTTTTACCTTTTTCTGCAAGTTACTCGTCGAAGTAAAAAAGTAAAAAAAAAAAAAAAGAATTGTTAAACGGTAGACAATCAGATGAAAAACGCGAATCTGTTTTCAAAACCGAAATCGATACGTCTCACCGGGAGTTGTCATTGAATCCGTGGGCCGTGTTCTCGACACCGAAAACGTATCCGGTCTCTTTCATCGGTTAGATCATCTACAGGCTATGTTATAGTTCATCTTTGCTAGGCAAACGGATGGACGTGAAACCAATGCTCGACTTGGAAAAAATTAAAAAAGGGGGACTCTATTTACTTTAAAAAAAAAGATCGTCCCCAAAATTTGTTAAGCGTTTTTAATTATAACATAATAATAGTACGGGGACGTTAAAATTTCTCAAAATTAGTTGGGGTACTCCGTTCCCTTGCGTCCCCCCTCAAGTCGAGCACTGCGTGTAACTATGGCAAAATAAACAGTTTTAAACGGACAGTTGAAAAACAAAAACCACGACGAAGTAAACGGTTGAAAAATATATAGTTTACAATTACGCGTTCAAGACGAAGTACTGACGATCGTTATTTCGTCGACTGTTTTCCGATCGACCGTCGAATTGTTACGCGGAAAAGAGATTTTGGACCGCAGGCGAACGGCTCAGCGCGATACCGACGGTATTCGCACTTTAACGTATCGGTCGTTTCGGAGCACGGTCGGAATTGCTGGCTTTTTATCGGTCCCCGGACGGTCGCGTTGATAACGCGTGAAAACCGATACACATTTCGAACAACGATATCGTCGTCGGACAACTAACCGGAACCGAACAGCGACACGCGCACGCCGTTGCCCTGAGCCGCCATCGTCCGGTGCCGGTGCACGATCACGTCCCGGGTCGAAGAGTCGCAGCGGAAAACACGTTCGTCGCGCGAGCGCCCGCGCCACTCGTCTCCCGACTTCCGGTTTCCCGGCCATCCCGTTACAGTCATGAGGAAGTCGCTGGAGGATCTCGGCAACAAGAACGTCGTGAACGGCAGCAGGGCTCAGCAGGACACGGTGTGAGTGTTATCCGCGATCCGAGGCGGACGATTATTGTTGATAATATCTAATTGTTTTTTTTTTCTTCTCCGCAGTGACACCGCCGCCGCCAAGACCGCGAAATCGCAGAACCCGGCCGACGATCATGAGACCGCTGTCACAGATCAAAATGAAATATTGACCATGGCCAACGTCGATCCGTCCTGGTACAACCAATTGATTATCAACGATCTCACTTCAACCGGTAAGCGCGTTCGACGGTTCTGGCTAAACTTGATCGCCATATGCTTATGTCATGACTGTTACAGCTGGCCCAAGTGAAAAATATTGGGAAGTGATTGCTGAACGCCGCAGAGAAGCTTTAGAAGCCGTTTTGGAAGAAAATCAACTGTTACATAAAGTAGTTAGTGCTCTGGAAGAAGAAAACATGATTACCAAAACATTGATCGAGTACAGCACAGAACTTATTAATAAATTACAGGTATAGATATTTCCTTACATTATTCAAATCTATTATGTGAATAATAATAGTAGTTTAATATGGTGTGTACAATTTGTTCAAAATATTTTTCAATCCTTATGCAAAAGACTCCTGTCTTAACATTTGCATGAACAAGTGTTAAAAACTCATAATGAATAACTTATTAAAAACACCATTGATTTATTTATTGGATTAACATCTAGATTTTTAGAAATTTTATTAAAATTATTACTTTTTAGTATTTAAAATATTGTATTATATTATATATAATATTATTAATATATTTAATATTTTATCTAACTTTTAATATAGCGATTATTTCTTGAATAAAAACGACTATAATGTATTTGTTCTCATTTATACTTAAATTTTTACATTCTCATATGAATGTTGTAGGAATTAATACTATTGTGTTATATTAATGTCATATTAATGAAAAATTAATAATGTTTGATATAGGAATTTTTTAAAAAAGAACATTTTTCTTTTGACGATGAGTTATCTTCTGAAGAAAACAGCGATTTGAACACACCAGACAGTCAAGACAACGATCAACATATAAATAAAAAAATGAAAATATCACACTCTGGTGAATGTTCAGATAGTGAATAAGACTGAAAGTTCTATTTATAATAAAAATTCAGGTTAACTACCTCATTATTATTTATTTAAAAATAACTGGTTTCCTATTAGTTTATTTCTATAAATTTATTTAATATTTATTTTTTATTTTGTATTTATAATCAAAGTATTTAGAAATTATGATATATTTTTTTTCATTTTCGTTTAAATATTGTTAAATTTGTGGATGTATTTATTACTAGTCTCAAAAATTATTATTTCATTACCTGGATAAATACATTTCATTAAGACATAGTTAATCAAGGATATTTATTTATATTTCCATTTTGTCTATGTTCCTTCTTATTTTAGATATATTATATATTGTCCACAGGTTAATTTTATAATTAATTTACAAAAGCATTTTCCCTGGATACAATCATTTTGAAACTAATACTTTTTGTATGTTACGATTCATGATTTTCACATTGAAAATTCCTTTATGCATATATAATATAATATTATAATTTATATAGTTTTTGCAATTTATTCCATTAATAAGTATTCGTAACAGGCAGGAACAAAAATTTAAGTGATGATGAAAGCCACTCCATTGATGATACTTTTTGTGTATGAATTATTATTAATATCGATTAATATTGTTTTATCATAAGATATTATAATGCTATTTATGGTTCAGTCATCTACAAGAACTACCAAAAAGAGCGGAGATATTCACAAATATATAATGCTCAAACAAATATATAATTTTTTAGAATTTTTATTGAAATGCACTACATTCGATTACTTGTTTAATAAAATGTATACTTAAAAGAAATATGTTTTTAAGTAGTCTAAATATGTACTAGTGTCTGTAAATTATTCCTTTCATAGTATCATTTGGAAAAATGAAGTGAGTGAAATAAGTGTATGAAATTGATAAAAGTTCATTAGATTAACACTTCCACTAAAAAAGTTTTAAGAAAGGTATATGCCTTAACAGTGGCGTAGCCGGGGGGGGTTTGGGTGTTGTAACCCCCCCACCTTAGTTTTTATTTAATATTTTTTTTAATTATTCAATTCCCTGTATGCGTCATTGATAGTTGACCGTGGTAGACAACTGATGGTGACCAATAAATTACTAATTTTGTGTTGTTTCTCCGTGGCTGATAACAATTTATACAAATACGTTCTTATTTGAAAAATGGTACGTAACAATATAATAATGTGTACATAACATCATATTGATTATTAGACTATCGGATATTTCATGTGATCAATTTATTATGTATGAAAATGGTTTTTTTCTCTCATCATAAGTTTGTATTTTTTTTAAATACCTCAAAAAAAAAAAATGTTTTATCCGAATCAATAGGACGTATATGTTCATCAACCCATAACCGTTTGAAACTATTATGTCCAACAAGATGGGTAGACTGACATGACTCAATAATTATTTTCTTTGTGTTATTTGATGCAATAGTTGATAGTTTATCTGAAGTTTGTACTTGGCATGATAGAAATGCTTCATCAGGAACATACCAATTACTGTGTGCTATAACACGTCCAGAATTTATACTAGGAACTTATAAACTGGGACACGTGTTGAGTTGGAGTTTATCAATAAGTAAGTTTCTTCAGACAAAGAATACAGATCTGGTTGAAGCTATTTAAACCGTTTATGACGTAGCTAAACAACCAAGATTAAATAATAAAAGTGAATTTAAAATTATATTTAATTATGTAAAATCTAAATGTGATGCCTTAAGTATTGAAATATCTATTTCTCATACAACTAATAAGCAAAAAAAACAGATGCAATATTCAGGTTAATTTGCCTGAGGATTATTACAGAATATCTTTATTCGTTCCATTTATAATTTTTTAAATCAATTAAATAATCAATTTTTATCTCATAGATCTGTAATTGAAAATTTAAACGTTATTTTACCATCATCCAATAGTATACAATATGAAGAAAAAATTAAGCAGCTAGATGAAATGTATTAAGGCGATTTAGATTGCAGTGTGTTAGCAGCTATGAGCAAAATTAAAATTTGGCAACAAAAATTTACAGGATCTAAAGATTTACCAAAAAATGCTATCGATGCTCTAAAAAAATGTAACATATCAATTTTCTTTTCTACTTTCAAACTTTTACAGATTTTAGCAACTCTCCCGGTTATAACTGCTTACAGTGAACGATCTTTTTCAACATCAAAAATACCACATGTGAAAATAGGTAGAATGGTTTGGCAATGATGAATATACCCAGTGATATAATGATACTCTGATGATGTCCTAAATAAATTAGGGACCAAAACAAAAAAACTACAGTTGATGTAAGTTTTAATGTAATTAAAATTTTGTTTGACTTTAAATGCTTTAAATAAAGTACAAGAAAATTTAAAATAATATGTTTTATGAAAACCTAAACCGTAAACCCCCCTCATTGAAAAATCCTGGCTACGCCACTGTGTCTCTAAATATTGGTCAAACGTGAAGTACAACTTTTGCCTAAATAATGAACACAATCGAGTTGTATCACAAAATAAAAATATTCATTGTCTTGTACTTACAGGGTTACAAATAAGGTGATAAAATAAATTATAATTTTTTCTAATTATATAATATTAAGTATATTTTAATATATTTGAATAAATGAAAAAAATATTTAGTTGTTAACTAAATATAAATATATATATATATATATAACAAATAAAGATAAATCTCTAAAAATAATGTATAAATTTTAACTTAAAATTTAATTTTAAAATAATTTCAAATCATTGATTTTTCTTTTTTTCTTTTTAAACAGGTCATTACTGAAAACACCCAAAATTATTATATTTTTATTGAATGTGATTAGCACAATACTATGAACCCATTTATAATATTTAACTGAACACAAATATTATAATAAAATACATGCATAAATATATATAAAAAAAAAGTGTAACTGATAGTAGTTTTCTAAAATCCAGCAAAATCATCATTGTCTTCATCATTATCCCTATTCCATCCAATGCTTTGCTTTATTGCGTTTTTCCACATATCATATTTTGTTTTTTGTTCTGAAACCAAAAATATCATTTTTATTGTACTGAACAAACATTTGACATTTTTTATACATTTTAATAGAATTTATTAATTATGTAAAACAGGGTTTTTTAGATTTACCTTTGTAGCAGATTGTAGGAACATAAGTGTCACAGTCTGATTTGACACTGTGCATTCTCCATACACCAACTGCAAAACCGGCTGCCAAAGCTGCGCCAAGAGCTGTAGTTTCCACCATTTTTGGTCGTACTGTTTAAAATATAAAATTAAATATCATTCTCTACTTATATGATTGCAAGTCGCTTTGGGAATATATAGTCAGAAACTGTAGTGTATGATTATAGGATGTTGTTTTGGTGACTATTTAAGACAATATTTTATCTAACTGTTAAAGCCGTTCGTTGCAACCTGTGTTTTGCCTTAAACATAAATTAGGTACAAGAGAAGTAAACGGTTATTTACAAACATAATAAACTGTTAGAGTCGAAATAATGATCTATAGATACAGGTCATATCATTGATAAAGCAGGTAGTATGCAAAAGTTGTCGTCCCTGTCTGATGATTCATATTATCCAAATTAATAAAATTAATTAGTAGCGACTTAACGAGAGCCTTATTGTAAAAACTTTTGGGCAAAATGTAATTTGATCTTTTACATTCCTCGTGTGGTTAGTTAAAGATATGAAAAAAAAAAAAAGAAGAATTCGTTAATAGCGAAATGGTTGTAAAAATATAATAAACTTGTGTGTATAATAATGCTTACCGACGGGAATACCACAAAGGTTTGTGAGTATCTGCAAAAAAGTGTCGCTGACTGACATCCCGCCGTCAACGTTTAATGCCGTAGTTGGATGGCCAGTATCCGACTGCATGGATTGCAAAACGTCCTTGGTCTGAAAACAGATGCCTTCGAGCGTGGCTCTCATCAAATGCGCGTCGGTCATCTCCATTGTCAACCCCGAGATCGTGCTGCGCACATAACAAGAGGACAATCGGTAAACTCATAATCGGATTTACACGCGTTGATTAATTACTGTTCGAGGTCACGTAAAACGGATAACTACGAGTCGCCTACACTATATCGGTTGAATCATAGATGACAAAATGATTTGTTGCTTTTTACATGGTAACAATCGTAGTGGACGTTGAATTCGGGTGATTTTACACAGCTTTTTGCGCCAGAAACTTACGTTTTCGTTCCATCATATTTTGTTTGTTTTGATAAGTTAGGAAAATGTTCGTTTAGCAGTCGTGAAATATACAAATCATACTTTGTGAACCGAAATTCGGACGCATGGGGTATATTGTTTTGAAGTTGCACGACCCCGCCGTGAACGTTTTACACTGATCGAGACGCAAGTGTCTTTTATTTTTATATAATATCGGGAAACGTTTAACATAATTCAAGAGCAATAGAAATAAAACGAAGCGCCAACTATTGGCTGTAACCGGTTATGAAAACAATTAGGTTTTCGATACGAAGTTTACAAAAAGTGATAACGGGTGTTTGATAGTATAATCATAACGAAGTTGAAAGAGTTTACGCGATCATTGTTTCAAAATATTACCAAATTCGCAGATTATTTGTACGTGGAAAGAGAAGACTTAAAAAGTTTTTAAGAGTGAAATAAGGTTGGTGGAATAGGACTATCGGCCTAACGAAACGTAATATAATAGGAAGCGCGGAACTTATTAGTTGTTCAGCTATAATATTGGGTGAATTTTCACAAGGCATCGCATTAATCCGGTGTTAGTTAAAATTTAAATGCGACACCTAAAAATTAAGAGAATACATCTGAACACCATAATGCGAAACGTGCGGATTATATTTCGCTCGCCAAACGCTTTGAATCTGAACATAGAACTGTCCAAACATCCGTATTCAACACTGACCAAAACTATATGTAACAATACGCATGATACTGACCCGCGAGCGTCACTTCGCCAGTACGGTGCATACAGGCCAGAGAAAGCCGGCACAAAATGAACACCGTTGGTGTTTTCCACAGTGTCAGCTTTCATTGTGAGGTCCTGGTAGCTGTCCACAACTTCGAGATTTTCCATTAACCACTTGGCTGCAAATCCAGCCACGGCTACTGATCCTTCAAGCGCATAAATAGGATCGGTGTGAGCTCCCATTTTAAAGGCCACGGTTGTCAGGAGACCATGTTCAGAGATAACAGGCTGTAAAAATAAAATGCAAGCATTTTTATTCACTATTTCAAAACTCCAAAAAAATTAATAATAATTAAAATAAACATTTACCTTACGACCCGTATTGTACAATACGAAACATCCAGTGCCAAATGTACTTTTTGCCTGTCCTGACAAAAAACACATTTGACCTAAAAGTGCAGCTTGCTGGTCTCCAATACACTAAAGGTTAAAAATAAAAATTATAACATAAACTAATACATTATTATTTTAAAGGCATTATTATTGTCTATTATTACTCCGGCTATCTTTGTTTCTGCAAGAGGTCCATCTACCATACGGCCAAACACTTCTGAACAGCTACGTATTTCTGGTAATATCACTCCGTTTGGTATGTTGAAGAACCTGTAATCAAAACAAAGTCAATAGTTGGAATATTCTAATTAAAATTGAACAAGATCTTAAGGTGTACTTTTGACAATCATATTAACTCACTCACACTTATTTTTACTATTAAAAAATTATAAATGGTTATTACCAAGACTATTCGATATCGAACACTATTCGAAACTCACTCGATTAATGTCTGATCCCATCGTAAAGAATGAATATTCATCAGCATCGTTCTTGAAGCGTTTGTAACATCAGTCACGTGAACTCCTCCTTTAATACCACCAGTGAGATTCTATGAGCAGAAAATGTGTAATAATTAAAATATTAAAATATAATGTGTATTCATTTGATTTTTTTTTTTTTTTTTTGGGTTAAATTGGTATGTATACTAAATAAAAATTAAAACAATATAAAAATAATTTTATATATTATTTTAGCATTGATTGTCATTAAATAGTTTAAAAGCATAACTAATTTTCTTTTATTCATAAATCCCTACAATTTTTACTTATGAAATCAATGTTACTGATTCAACTTCAGAAAAATATTGGTAGTTACATCATTAAAGTCATGTTGATGTTTATATTATTAATTATCAAACACCACTAAAATTATAAACTATAAGTACAATTATGGTAATGAATAAGCCGAAAAAATGATTTTAAACAAGCATTATTCTGTTTTTATTACGATTACTAGGTTTTTCCAAAATATTCTTAGCACCCTAATAATAATTCTATCTCTAAATACTTTTAGAAATTTAATATATTTTTTATTGTTTTAAAATTTAATTTTTATAAAAGAATAAGGCATAATTTTTACATAATATAACTAATTATTTACTTCACTACATTTTAACACCTATCCTATATAATAAATTATGAATATTTATAAGTAAAATTAAAATTAAAAAATCATCAAATCATTTTCTATAGTTATGTTTTTATTTTACTAAAAAAAAAAAATTATACAATTAAGTAAAAAAAAAAAAAAAACCAAAATGGTTAGGTAGACCAATTGCCAGTAATTATTTTATATAAAACATTATTTATGTAATACATACAAATAAAAATTTAAAAATGACAAACTACATTAATCTGAGATTATTACCCAAATTAGCCAAGAGTCAATTGTACCAAACATACACCTCTTTTCTTGTATAGCTTTTAAAACTTCAGGAACATTTTCCATTAACCAAAGCAGTTTAAATACACTAAAGTATGGATTCATTGTTAGACCGCATTTGAACTGCAAATTCCTATCAGAAATAAGTTTTAAAAAGCCCATATAGGCAAGTATTAGTATCAAAACATAACAATTAAATAATTATAAATTAAACTTTAAATGACCTATAGCAGTTTTTTTTTTTTAGTTATGTGAAAATCTTAGTAAATAAAATTAATTTATTAAGAAAGGCAATTTAAAATAAATTATTAATAAAATGTTTAATTTATGAGTTGAGGTTTAATATAATCAAGCATTTTCAAGTAGTAATATTAAAGTAAAAAAAACTATTAAAATCTTAATCGCTAAAAGGAATAAAGATAATTTTGAAAGTTTAAAAATTGATCATGTTAAGAAGTGCTGTAATAATATTCTGTTGTTTTAAATTTCAATCATTTTACCTTTTTCTTTCATCTAATGTATCACAATTTGGAATTCTTTTCTCGAGTAATCTTTCAACTATCCCTTGTGCTCTCATATCCATCCAAACTATTTATGTAGATACAATCAATTTAAAATAAAATAAAAATTATGCTAAAAAATAAAATAATCAACTTACTTATGGCATTGTATAATGGTTTTCCTGTATACTTGTCCCATACTACAGTACTTTCTCGCTGATTTGTCACACCTATTGCGACAATTGATGAAGGCGATATGTTTATAGACTTAAGTTTTTCACACGTCACAGTGATAGTTTCTTTGACTTTTATCAGAATATCTTCAGGATCTTGTTCAACCCATCCATCATTCAAGCATATATTAGTTGTATTGATTTGGTGGCTGGCAACAGGCAAGTGAGTTTTAGATGAAAATACCTATAAAAAATAATACATTAAATTACAGGAAATAATATCGGAACATAAATTATTAAAAATTGAATGGTTATTAAACAAATACACAGTCAAATATAATATTCAATATTATATACACATTCCTAATATTTTTTAATAAATATATTTTTAATAATTGGAGAACATAAAAATTAAAAAATTATGTATAATTTGATAAATTAATTTAAATAAAAATACTGATCGAATACCAATTATATAATGTTATATACATTTTAAATGCAATTTTTAGATGAACATGAAAATTCAGAGATAAATTAATATTGAATTCTTACTTGGTTTTATTATTAAATATTATGATAGGACCTAAATAGAGAGAAATAAAATGAAAATATTGCAAAACTGAATTGTTTGTTTTCAAGAAAAAAAAATATTATTAGTAATAAATATTAATCTCATTATTAAAATATAATACCTAAATTGTGTGTAGCATATTTATATACACATTTATTAACAAGTAATAACGGACAATAATTAAATTTAAATACAAACCAAAAATCGCGTACTACTAGATCCTTCATCAATAGCACCAACAAATGTTTCTTCAGCAGGAGTCTAAAAAAGAATAATGATTAAAAATTGTTACTAGTGTTTATAGTCAACAATTTCAATAAATAAATACTATACCGATTTATTCCTCTTATAACAGATCAAATTGTGTATTCTAGACATTTTGACAAACTGTAAATTTTGAATAAACTTTACAAAAAAATAAAACAAAATTATCATAATGAATCAAAACGTATGATCTGAAAATTCAATAGTAATTTTAATTATGATACATATTTATAAATATAAAATAAATATGATAAGATAAGATCAAAGGCAATAAAATGGCACAATTTAAAAATATAAATACCGTTTTAATAACTAATTAAAATCATGTTATATACATTGAAACATTCATAATCTAACACATTAAATAATGATTTTAATGAAGTATTAAATTTGAGTTTAATATTTATTTCAAAATAATTAGTTATATTAAATCTATTATTAAAATATGTTATCATATGAAAAATTGTTCCATAATGTCATAAAAATAGCTTAACTTAATTGTTCTAACTATCTATTGTAATTACTATGAACCATACTGTCACTATGAACTTATTATACCTTTAAGTTATACTAATATCATTACTGTCCAATCATCATAGTTTTTCAGACTTGACAAACAAGTAATAAAATAATAATGAAAAAAAAAAAAGTTCTACAGCAAAATGAAATAAATTATTTTCTTTCTTTCTTCTCATATCCATCAATATTTTACACCATAATAATGTACTGTTAGTCCTGTCAGCTAAGGTTAGTTGGTAAAAATTCTACAAAATCTAAATTCTTTTGGAATTTTACCAAAAAAAAAATATTTATGTTCCTTGACAATGTTGTGAAACCAAAAAACCTTATTTATTTGAAAAAAAATTACTTAATAAACAATGCCCAACAATTGTGTTTGTAATTTCACATTGCTAGAATATACTGTACATAAACTGTAATGTAAACCATTATTGAATATAATATAAAGTAGAAAGTATTGCGTATTTGATAAGCGTCATAGAATTGATCAACAGATTACAACTGGGTTGATTATATTATAATGATGTACAAAGACTTTACCTAATAATTAGATAAAAATCTGATACGGCAATAACAAATGGTATTTGTTAACGATTACATGACTCATTTGTAGATAAAGTATGTTTCAAGGAATTACAATCATTCCATTCAACTGAATAATTAAAATAGAACTATGTAACGTGATTTATTAACATCAAAGCTTGCAGCAATGTAATCAATTAATATTTTGAGAATTTTCTCATACCGTCAGGGCCGGCAAGAACTTTTGAGGACCCCCTAAGGCTGACTGATTCCAAGCCCCCTTTACCTACACTAGTTTGGCCAATATATACTACTTGTACATACTTTAGTACAATAAAAATATTGTAAAAGAGACTGAAGACACGACGGGTCTTCCCTGTTCCACCCTTTATACCATTCTAAAGAATGAACGGTTTGTTTGAAGTGTGAACATTGTTCGACTAATGGATCGCAGAATGACAAAAGGGCAAAAATGCTACGGGCGTCGGTGTACAAAAGGAACGGTGAACCATAGCGGAGAGGGAACTCCGACAACGGTGCAATCGGATGTCGGTGGTGTTCCGGGGACGCGAAGAAAATGGCCGACGCGTCGATTTTTCGACATAGGTTGGAGATTGGCACGCGCGCGCCGACGGAGTGTCGTCCGTCTCGGGAGGGATCGGTGCGTGAACGAGACCCCGGGGACGAGAATACCGTTTTCCCAGTTCGGGAGGAAAACGAAAAACGAGCAACCCGGGACGGGAGAAAAAAAGCGTCAGCCGCGGGCGGGGACGGGAGAGAGGTGAAACCGATGGATACTCACCGATAGAAGTGCGACCTGGAGAAAGCGATGCGGAGAACTGACGGGACGACGACGACGACGGCAACAGCGGTGGTGGCGGCGCGGCGGCGGCTTCGGCAGCGGCGGCGTAGGACGGCAGCAGTCGATCGGCGGGACGGCAAGGGGGAGCGGTAAAACAATGCGCGCCCGTCGTCGGAGTGCGTACCGCGTCCGTACGGGCCTGGTAACGAAAGACGGATTTTCTCGCTCGGTCTCGCTCTCCCTCCCCCGGACGGATAGGCCGTGAGGACGCGAAGCGAACGGGCAAAAATGCCGTCGTCGACGACGAATGTCACCGTGAAACGTCACCGGCGGCTGCTGCTGCTGCTGCTGCTGCGTCTCCGGGGGGCGCGCGAAACGGTTTTGCGGTTAATGTTTCACGGGAAAACGTACGTACCGGCGACGGAGCCGACGCGCGCGCGTTTATTGTTACCCCGTTCGCCCTCCGTCCATCGCGGTGATACGGCTTATCCGGTACACGTTATCAGCGGTTGTCGGGCGCACGTGCGCGCGAACCGTACAGCGAAACGCGTTCGTTCAACGATAATAGTTTTCCCGACATGAACGCGAAAGCGCTTACCGACCAGTTCGTCTCCGCGTACGTGAAGCTGCTGGACGGTCTGCACGGCGACGTCCGAGTGCTGAACGCGATCAGAGCCAACATTCTGTGAGTAGTGCCTAGTCATCTGGACCGAAAAACCGCCGTCCACGATACCGGTTTTTCGACCAACGTGCCCCTTATACGCATCGGCGTTGGTGAATTGATCCCCGAGATTTCATTTATTTACTAGTTAATTCTCGTGTTCGTTTAAAGCAGGTACAAATCAATTCTCAAGTATGAAAGAACAATTTCGGTCTAATGGTGTTATCCAGAACACACCACGAGGAGTCTTCAGACAGTTTTTTTTTTTTCAAGTGTTTTCATATTTTAAACCATTGTAATATGATAATTAATGTAATACAATTAATTTTAGAGGTTTTGCAAAAAACATTTTCCACAGCTTTCCTTTTCAAACAAATACTCAACGTTTCCCTCTTATAATACTTATGTTATGGTTATGATTGATGTTGCTTTCTGCGATTTTATTACTAGAATTGAGTTCTAAATAATACTTACAGCTACTCTTACTACAAGTTAGCATTGGATATCATTTGATAGCATTTTATGAAAACATTACTTATATCCATTTATCAGTATTAATGGTTTAGACTTTTTTGCTTGTTATAAACTCCATATTTATTCAGAAATTGACACTACGAACTTATGTTGAACTTACAATGGCTGTAATGGTATTGGAGAATGTTTTTAAAATTCTAGAATGTTTGACTACAAAAATTACTATCAAAAAACAATTGTCATAAATTCATAAACGATAAAATTTAATAAAATACATACCTTTTTTTTTTTCGTTACTGATATGCAACAATATAATACCTAAGGAAATCAACTCATATATACCTCTTAATTGCTACGGAATAAATTCACCGGTGTTAATGCAGGTAAACAGGTAACTGGGAATCAACTCATATGTAGCCGATCGTATTACTTTTCTCACATAATCCAAATTGTCCATGTACACAAAAACTGTTGTCTCCGTTTGTTTTACTCATTTCGCTATGTGTTCATTTTCATTTCTTATGTACTCGACAACAGTGGTTAAATTTCCATAGTAGACTCTACAAACATTAAATTTGTGAACATAGACAATTATCTTTATTTTTTACTTACACTAATTGTTTAATTGCTTGTTTATTTACAAACCAGCAATAGTAAACCTATACATCAAGTAAAACCAAACTAACAAGTAAAAAAGTAAAAATTTACTGTTAATTTTTACAGTTTCATTGTATACTTGATTTTTATTGTTAAGAGTGTTGACATTCAGTACATTTTTATATACTTCACTAATATAATATTTTTAATAATTTATACCAAATATTTTATAAACCTATTTTATTATAGATGTTCTCAGTACAACAAAAACCTTGAACAAAACAATGAAAATGAAAATGAATCTACTAATATAGACAATCATTGTAAATATTGTCTCACACCTTGGAAAAATGGAAATTTCACTATGAAGACTATTCCAAAATGTAAAAACAGTAAATTAAAGAAAAAATCACGTACATTTATATTGGTAAATCCTTATTATACAATATTTAATTAAATATGTACTTTTAGAAATTATTTTATGAAATATTTTAGGTGATGAAATGTCTCGTATGTTTACGTGTAACCAATTCATTTTTTGAAAAGAATAAAAAATTGAATAAGAAGCCAACTAAAGAAGTACCAAAACGTAGTACTGAAAACATTGTTGAAACACCAAAAATTGAAGAAGTAAAAGTTAAAATGGACATAAAAAAACCAAAAAAAAAAAAAAGAAATCTCTATGCTGGTTTGAATCCATTAGTTTTTAAAAATAGAGATTTATGTAAAAAAAACAAAAAAAAACCAATTACAAACTTATAATTTATAATAAACATTATGTTTTGTACTTCATAATTACAATATATCCACATATATTTACTTTACTAATTATTTCTGAATTAAGATTTTCCATATGAATGAGAGTCTTGATTATGGAAATCAGATTATGGTTTTTTAATACATTTATACATTTTTACTACAATTATTCATTCAAATAAAAAATAAATAAATTATAAGTTATTAATAATATTGACATTATATTTAATATTAAAATAATGTGTTATATATTGATTTTCTAAAGTATGTTCTTATGCTGTTGAAAATTCAAAGGATTATTTAACTAATTATTTATATATATATAAAGACATACAAATGTATAAACTAACAAACTACCGACATGTATGTCTTTCCATAACTATTATAGTTCATTTATTAAATTAAAAAGAAAATATATTTTTGATGATTTTTTTTTTTTTAATAATAAATTCAGAGAAATTTTAAACTAATTACAAACTTCATTTGAATGTGAATGAAGTATAATTGTACTCTATCCAAACATGAAGACCAACTACTATCTTAATGATGGACTACTTAATTGTCACATCAGTCTTTTGGTTCAATTGCAAAGCACAATTATCATTTCATGTATAAAATCAATTGTACTATACCCAAGAATGAGAATTGTAAAAACATTTAAAATGCTTAAATATATATAGAGTAATACATGAAGCGTATCCTCTTAATTCTACATTTGATAAAAATCAAAATAATGTAAAAGTGAGATGCGTAATAGTGTTTAGATTTAACAATTATATTTATTATTTTTCCCAATGTGGTTTTTACAGCTTTGAATGGTATTGTATAAATTTGGTGCAAATGTTTTGGAGGCTTGTTTTTTTTGCATTATTAAAAAAGTTTGTTAACATTTGTTTTACACAAATGCTCTACATGCACGTTGACCACTGTGGATATATCAACATTGTGTATTATGCATTTAACTTTAACAGCAGTGAATTTTCAAATTCTTTTCTACTTGTACAAACAAAAGTCTATCAATTATTGTTAAAATATACTAAATTGCTTTCGTTTAACAAATTATGTGATGCTATGATAATGTAGAAATGTAATTATTGTATGAAAAACTAAGAAAGAAAAATATGTTACGTATATATATTATGAATATATTGTTAGTGCCATGGAATTTTGTATCTAAGCTACTTTTTAATCAATCTCTTTTTCATGACATGAGGTCTACTTAATGTTTATATATCTTAAAGCTTACAACTTATATTCTAATGCAATAAACTAAAATAACTGATTCATATATTTGCTAGTATAATTTTTTTTTTATGTTTTATGTATTTTATATTTATAATTAAGTAAATGAAATCAACACTTTATATTTTTACTATGTATATCTATTTTGAAACATTAATTTGTATTAACTAAACGGAAAAAAAAATCATATTGCTGGAAAACGTTGTAAAAAAATATTGTTAAATATAGTCCCATTGGAGGAAATAGTTTTCCAACAAATATTAATATTTGTTATCTTACTGTTAATTTGTTTTATAATTGAAATATTTTTATCACTTATTTTATACGAATTTATTGACAATATGTGAAGTATGAAAGACAGAATCAAATGTGTATTGTGTTAACGATCAATTCCTATTACAAACTAGTGTTCAATGAAGTATCACTTTATAATCGCTTGATAATAAAGGACACATGTCACCATTTGCTGTTACCAATCACTTAAGTGGACCTTATGAGTGTTTGAAGCTATGACTGGGACCTTTTGGTTTTTGCAGTTCCGGTTCTCATTAACTTCATTAAAAGGTTCTGGTTCTGGTATTATAGGGTTCTAAATGTAATTTTTTATATTTATTTCATTGTATTTTTTTATACACTTTTAAATGTGTATGTTATCAGCATTATAGATAATCTGTCACAATGCATAATGTTTCAAAATATAACTCTACAACTTCAAGTATAAATATATCTATACATATAAGTTGCTATAAGTTTTTTATAACTGTTATATAGAAATATATAATAGTAAAATACCATAAAAAGTATTTAATAATATCTATAATACTGTTGTAATAAATAAGTTTATTTTAAATTAAATATTTTTTCTGGTAACATAAAATACTTATATTATTTACATTATGTAATATTACTCTAAAAATTAATACAAATAAATAATTATTATTATTGAATTTTATAGTTTGTAATATTATTTTTTATTATTAAATAACAAATTTGTGCGAATAAGTAATTGATTTTCTACATTTTTACTGGATATATTTCTTTGGTATTATAATACATACTTAAGTCTAGAAAAAAGACGCTCAACAATGACTTGGGTAGCTGGAACGCTAAAAATGTCTTATAGGTATTCAAATTTTACTTAGCACTAGAATAGCACCTATTTAAAACTTAAAAAATTTGTTTTTAGAAATTTATTGATTCTTACTTATAACGTTATATTAATAACTATATGAATACGCTATATGAATGATATAGGTAATGTATAAATAAAAAATCGTACCATAAAATATCGTTCATATGAAACGGTCCTAACACAATGCAAATATAAATACAAAAATAATAATATACATAAATTGTATTATATTATCAGATTTAGAAACATTTAAAAATATCTCGACCGAAGCACTACATCGCTGGCCGTATATCGATTGATATTTATCATGGCTCATAGATATTTCTTACTTTTGTTTTAATACTCGATGACACGACAGCCTTTAGTAGTCCGTCTGTCAGTACGTAATATTAAGAATAAAAACAAAATTAATAGGGTTTGTAACAGCTGATATTTTTCATATTATTATAAGGGTTTCAGTTATTTGAATATGTAAAAATTAGGTTCCAGTTCCCAATATTTTAAGGGTTTTTGGGTTCCAGAACCGGTTCTTTTCGGTTCGGTTCGATTCCAGTACCTGGTTTGAAGTACCTACATGAAACAGCTACTATAGATGTTTACTTAGCATGGGCGTGACCAGGGTTTTTGTCAAGTTTAGTGGGTTCAAACCCTCCTCCCCATGGATACTTGACAAATATATAATATGTATTAACTACTAATATATAATAATGTATTTCCCAATTTTAGAGTTTTTTTTTTTTATAACAATTTATTTATTTATTAGGTATTATTTTCTCCTTATTAGTCTGTATTATTTGATATTGGTGATGGTAGGTAACTATTATTATTCTAAGACCGTGGTAACTACCAACTAAGACCTACAATCACGAATCACAAAATAAAACTTTCAAGTTATCAATTTATCATATAATATCATATCGCAGGTTATTTTAATAATAATTATACAATTTATTCTTTCTTTAAATAAGTTTTCTTCCGTGCAATTGTGCTCATATTTTGAGTTTTGAAATTGTTTAATTTACCATTAAAAAGTCGCATAATAAAATTATAAACTATTTTACCATTACAGCTACGAATGTCAGTGCTACTGCAGCCGATAAAATTTAACATAAACATGAATTGGAAACGGAAAATAGTCAAATGACTGATAATCAGGTAAGGTAATAATTTTGAGATTTTTGACTAACAACTGGTAGGTATATGCCATGTTAAAGTCTTTATTATTTGCACGCTATTAAATTACATTATTCTTTAGCATGGAGCCTAATATGTGCATAAAGTACTTATGTGACTAATATTAGGAATTCAAATTAACATAACTATAAACATTGATTATACTCGTTAAATACTTAATACTTTGGCATTATTTTAATTTTATTTTTGTATTGTCTTGTTTTATAAAAGTTGGAAAATGTTGTACCTCTTACACACAAAAATGATATTAGCTTGTTCTTTATCTGATCATGAAAAAAACATAGTAAGTATTCTGCTAAATACTATTTCCCAGCATGAACTGCATCAACAATTATATTTTTAGGTAATAAAAAATGTATAGTCACCTCCAGCAAATTACTTGTTTCTATTGATTAATAATAATGCCAAGAGAAATATCTAATTTCAGCATCGTTGGCTGGATAAATTTAATTGGTTATTTTATTCCGAAAAACTGAAAGGAGTTTTTTGTAAATATTGTGTAGTCTTTGTTAAATTAGCTTTAGAAAGTCTTGTGACACTTGCTTTTTAAAATTGGAAAAAAGCTTTAGAAGTAAATATACTTATTAATAAAAATGATGGTTTTTTATTAGGAAACAGATATTTCTCTGTTAACATGTATAGACGTATGTTAGATTTGATTGGTTTGGTTGTTAGTTGCGCGCGATTCAAACAATAAAATTAAAAACAAAAATGATAGTTTATTGACACTTATAAAATTAATTATATAAAATATAAAATGTGCAATGAGTTTTAAAAATTTGCCTGGATATCATTTTGCATTTCTATAAATACGATAAGTATTTATATCTAATACATTTTTTTTAAGACTTAAAATCTATAGTTGTATTGTATTAATTTTTATAAAATCAAATAAAATAATATTATTTCAAACACAAACAAACATATTTTGTTCCAAAGAGCAAAATTATAAATGTAAAAATACAAAATAAGAATAAAAAAAAAATGAAATAATTTAAGTAAACTTATAATAATATTGTACTCATAATAATTATTAGTGTTTAATTTTTACATCCAAATTTCCTTTCAACCAGATGTATAAGAAAAAAAAAACAACGAAACGTAAAGCATGAAACAGTTTAAAAAAAAAAAATCACAATAAACGCGTCGTCTTGTCAGGTTTTCCTTTTAAACTTGAACCGACATTGTATTTGAATTGCGACTAGATCCGTGCGTATTTATTTTTAAAATTTAAGTGGACATTACGTTTTCTCCTCGTGGAAAATCCGTCACCGGTTGGATCTAATATCCACGGGTAGTAATTGGGACATTCCATGCAGGTGAACAGTCTGATTGTCTCTCCTGGAAGTTCTCTGGTAGTCAACGGGCACGGGTTTGACAACGAGCAGAACGGTTGTCCTTTAACGTCGCACTTACTGTTTTCGTCCTTCCACTCTGGGAAGTCTTTCATATTATCCAAATCAGTCGGTGCTTGTATCCATTGGATGACCTTAAATTGAAACGTCGTGTCATTATACTATACCGTATTACCATAGGTGGGCACTCCCAAAATTTTGTAAATACAATTCAAGTCCAACAGTAAGGCACCCGTATTTCAATTGATTTTGCTCGAATTGAATGCAATTTATTCAAAAAACATTTGGCAAGAAATACCTAAACGAAGTTCCGTAATAGAAAAAATAAAAACAAAATGTTCTTAATGTTCGTGCAAAAACTTGTCATGGTAATAAAACAGACACAATTGACTAAAGAATTATAAATCATAAATACTCGTAATTGAAGCTATCGGAGAAAAATACATGAGCCTCAAAGAAAACATATTCATTGGGAATAATGTACCAAGATATTAAATTAAAAAATTAAAGTTATATTTATTCGATTGTTTGCACATTATAATGTATTAAATATACACCTGCAAGTTTCGTTAAGATAGGGTCCAAAAGTATTATGGGTATGCACTGAAATACAGATCTGCGCAAGCCTATGCGCGTCGTACGATTAAGCGCTGCGGCACCCAAATCGGATCCAAAGCCTATGTGCAGATTTCGAAGTGAGACTTCCGAAACATAAGTAAGTACAATGAACTGTTTATCATTTTGCACTTGTCTCTCCCGCGTTGGACTCTCACTCCGTTCCTATAGCAATACATCGTACAGCAATCGTACAGCAGTGCCAACCAGTTTTATAAGATTCTAAGGCGTTCAAACCGTTCAGCGGCAAACGTTCGGCATACGGTACGGTTTTCCTAATCCCTCGATTTCGGGATTGATACGGACCAATCGAGCGCGTTTACGAACGGGAAAAACAGACCAATGACGACGGCTAAACGTAATGCATAAGCTAATGTCGAACGTCTGCGTCCCGCGACACTTACTTGCAACATGTTGACGAAGTATACGTCGTTCCTCTTCAACATCTCCTCGATGAACTTGATCAGCTCGTCTTTGAACTCTCGTTTGCTCTTCAACCACGAGGCATGGAAGTGCAGACCCAACGGGGCGCGGTTGGTGCTGAAGTGACGGTTGAAATTGTGCCTGAGCAGACGGCCGAATTGCTCGCCGGTCTGTATGTTCGAGCACGAGTCGACCATGTGACAACCTGTAAATGTACCGCACGTATTAATACAAATTTTTCAAGCGTTCCCGAATCATAACCTATCAAGTTGTTCCACCCGTTTCACACGAATGCTGTACGTTAATGTTGCAAACGAAACGATCGACGCAACGTCTTATTTTCCATCGAATTGTTGCGCGCGAAGTTCCATTGTTTGAATTTACGAGAAAAACGCTTTCGTAATCGCTTCGATAACGGTGCGATGCCGAAGTGAATGAACGTTGAGTCGGGGGAGATTTACGCAGACGATTATCAGATCATGATGGGTAAGCCTAGAAGCATTAGAACAACAATATGGACCATATTATATTACCCGAGTGTATAAATGTCTAACTGTTAGGCATACTTTAGCATTACGCTAAAAGTACGTACTGACAAACCCGGTTGGGTTTGTTTTCTCTGTAATAATGCGATAGTTTAAGACACGAGCGGGGTACTGTATAATTTTGTTTAACCGCGGTCGGATTGGACCTACCAGAAGTTAATACGCGGATATAGGTGAAAACTGTTGATTCGGGTTTCGAAAACTGTATAGACCCAAGGTTGCTAAATAAACAATTTGTCGTTACCTGGTAGAGACTCGTCGAAAGTGGGATCGTCACGTCTGTCCAATTCGTTCATGACCATCTCCCACACTGGGTGGCTTCGGCTAGGACAGTTCTGCGCGTTACCGTTGCACTTGTGTGGCATTCTGAAGAACAGTGTGTAGGGCCAGATGGGTACGCGGCCCAACGATGCAGTGATGGAAGCGTCATACAAGAAGAACTGGTGCTCCATCATCTGAAACTGCTTGTTGCCGCCCACTCGCAGGTATGGGGCGCGGATGCCGACGATCGAGGCGTCGGAAATGTTGGCGAATCTGTTGACGACCAAAATGAACTTTTAGCGTCTCCGTAACACGCAATGCACAATATTTATAGCCCACGAAGGCATTACGCGGCTCAAGCTTTTGTATGTCGGTTACAAATTCGGTTGGAATTCGAATATTATAATTTCTCTCTCTTAAATTGTCTACAATAACTTATTTGTTATTTGTATATATTTGTTCGTTGTTAGAGTATCTGTTGCGCCGACAAGACAGCGTCGACGCATATTACGTTCTATACGGAAATATACATCATCTATCGGTAATAAGGAACGTTTAGAAAAGTCTACTCCAGCGAAATATTTCTTTTTCAATATTCAATAATCAAATTTAAAATACACAATCGTTGTAATACGTACTAGTACATTTTTTAACTAGTTAACTAGGCGACACAAATGTCGCCCAGTGATTATACTCTGTCGACAGTATTTTAAAAGATTGGGCGAAGTAATGTGAAACAAACGTGTGATACTATAATCATACTATGGTATTATTATATATTGACTATTTTGAGAAAAAAATTTTTGTCGCCCAGTGAAAATTCCTTATAAAATGCATTGATACGTACACTGGTATACTTCGCCGGAACGATTGTAACACAAATAGTTCATTGTTTAACAATAAGTGCTACGACGGAATCGTGTTTTGCAATACGTTTTATTATATATTTATAAATGTTAATTGACAGCCGATCAATTACCTTTCTGTAATCAGCCTAGCTCCGGCCATCTCGGCCAGCCAATCGTCGTAGGAGCCGCCGGTCCAGTATTTTGGGTCGTCCTTGTGGGTCAACGAGAACACGGCGATTTCGTGACCTTTGCGGTGCAATTCTTGCACAAAAGCGTAGTTGGTGTACTTGTGTGAGACGAAGAACGTTCCCTTGATGGAACATCCGTTGGGATTCAATCGGCCGGACGCAGAGTTGTTGAAAATCTCCTCGTACAGATCCATGTTATCCACGTTTACGGCGCCGTTGAACGTAATCGTGATCAGTTGAGGTACCTAAACAATAACCGTACAAACGGTTAGTAAACCTGTTGGTTACAACATGGACGGGAACACGCGGGAAGTGCTGCGATACGCGTCGGAGTTAGAATGTTACGCAGTGTTGTAATTTATCCGAACCTTTCGGTTGACGGAAAAGTAAAAAAAAAGTCTCGTCCAAAGCGAACAGTCGCAGTCAATCATTGCCGGGTCGGCGCATCGGCGGCATTGTACAACGCATGAAGGATTTTGCGACGAAAACGTACGTCGTAGGAAAACGTGTGAACTATGAAGTCACAAGAGCACTGAATCCAGTAATGTGCCGTCTAAAACCCGCAGGATTTTCCGCGAGTTTCAACAAGGAATAAATCGTCGACGGCGATCAACAATTGACCTATTTACGACCTATTTACCTATTTTGATTTATGAACAATAATATTTACTTGACTGGGTTCCAATCCTCCGGGTATTCTGGTTCCGTCGGCCGAGCAGAAGCAATCGGGCAACACGCACTGGTTGGGATCGCAGTCCGGGGCACGGTTCGGGTCGGTTTCCACGCCTAAAGTTACGAATCGGTGATTAACAACAATCGTGCCAATCAGTCGCGGTTGCGCAACGCAACATCATTATAATATAGGTATTATCGACGACGTGCGTAATTACTTACTGCATGCGTTTTCGTCAGACTCGTCCTTGCAATCTGCCCTGTCGTTACAGAACAGATCTCTGTTCATACATTCACCGTTTCCACATTGTAGTTGGTCCTTTGGGCACACGGGCTCATCGGTTTTCAAATTCGGCAGAGCTTTTCTGGGTTCTGAAAACGGTTTTGATGTTACGGACAATTGCACGATTCGAACATCGTTCACGCAATGGTATTCAACGCCGACGAATATTATTTGTTTGATTACGGTATTGAAATGTTCGATATACCGGTTCACGCAGTTATGCGACTTGATTTCGCTTGTGTAAAAACGTTTAATATATTTGATGACGTTGAATACCATTTTGGTCGTTTTACAAGTGTTTTTATGTGTTAACAACTATACAGGTAGCTTTTTGTTAGCCCGGTATGAGTAATTGAAATTAATTGTGTTAAATAAAAGCGTTCGATTTTGTACGTAAGAAGAGAGAAGTAATACGAGCGGTAATAATATGCAACACCTATAAATAATCATCTGTAAGTTATATTTTTTGATTCGTGAAAGAAAAATTATTTTTCAGTTTTCCATTTAATAAAATATTCGTCTTGCACCTAATTGCATTGTATACACAGTGTGTGTATAACTTTACACAACACCGGTCAAAGAAGCGCTACGGATTCGACTTTACAACATATTGTTATAATGAAGTTAAAGCAATAACGATCTCATTCCATTAATTGTACTATAGTGAGTGGACATTATACACAAATATTGAAATATTATTTTCATTGCAGACCGTCGAGAAATTGGCTTTACGCATTCTTAAAGTTAAGTGGAATTTATGGCTAATATATTCACGGCTAATGTGTTTTTTTTTCAAATAAGAATAATACAGAAAGTGATTGCGTGTGTAATACTCGTACATTTTAAAACCGATCGAAGAATAGTGTGCTTTTGAAATGTATAGACCGGTTGTTCCATTGCTCCGCGAAAACTCGCGTGCTGTTAATTAATCCTATAGTCTCGAAGAATATATTATACATACATTCTAGTGACTTCAAACATTTATGTCTAACCGAAACAAGATATCGATGTAGGTAACTACATAACTACTCTTTACATCATTCAATGAACTCGAATCGGATTCAAGTTTTGTTTCATTTTAAACTCGTTTTCATTATAACTAAATTTGTCTACCGGTACTAAATGGAACTGGATTTACGTGATTATGCACGTGTATTACACAAAATCATAAAAGTTACGTCCGATCTCGAGAAATTTAAACAGCGTGACCCATATGAAAATAATAATAAACGTTTTTAATTTTGTAAGCGAATAATCAAAACTCGAATGTCGGTGAACATTTTCAAGATGACAGATTAATGAAGTATGAGAAATTCGTTTCGAAAAGTAAATGCAGAACCATTCGATATTGGACTGTGTGGTGGTTTTTTTAGTCACTATATCATCGGTCGAATAACTTATTTGGAATCATCGAACACCGGAATATACATTTATCATTTTATATCGTAACAACTCAGACACGCATTGCTTCATTAATAATGTCAAACCCAATAACATTTTGACTGTATACATTTTTGTATGGAACCTGTAATAAGCGTTTTTGGTGTTAGTTGAAATAAATCGTTTGGATTAATAATAATTATTGTGCGCATGCAAAGCGATGGTGATGCTGTGAGCGATTTACAATTAGGTTTCAAAGCCAAACTTAAACGTATACATAAAGCCACGCATGCATCTTCTAAGAGGAAAACACACGGTTCCGGGATTAATTCTAAATAAAAGCCTACCTGTGTTTGGCGCACAGGTCTTTCAAACTACTCAACTTGATTTTCTTTGATATAACATCATCCCACATTGTATATAATATAGACATAACAATATACGTTAATTTCTTTTTTTTTCTTTTTTTTTATAAAATGTACAATTCACACTCTCATCCTTCACCTCTAATCAGTGATGTCGCCACTTACTGTCCAAACGGTTACAGTTGGTGACTTTACCCTTCCAATCACACGTCTGCTTATCTATGTCGAACGCCAAACCAGACGGACAAGTGATTTGTTTTATACCGGCTTTAGTGCACCTGAAGGACAAAATGCGTTCATGCAATTTTTATGTTAAATTAAAAAAAAAAGACAATGTCAAAACTTCATTTCACTTTTTTTTATGACGTTTTCAATCGGTGGTACGCTGAAAATTAATTTATTTTAGCCACAACAAACAGATGCAATGCATGTAAGGTTCATGTAAATAAAACACCATACATAAATATAGTATAAATATGTGTGTATAAAAACTTAGAGTAAAAAAAAAAAAATCTTTTTATATTATATATATATATATATATATATATATATATATATAACGGTTATGTTAGGCATTGTTAGTAAAAACAACGAACACAAGGGCAAAGGCAAATTTATGGTTTTCGAGGCGATTAAATAATGTAGTAGAAGTAGTAATAGTAGTAGTAGTAGTAGTGTGATAACTTAGTGTGTGTGAAAATATGGGCTTTTGTGCATTCCGAGTCGCACAGGATTAAGAACATGAAACCCGGTCCGGTCAAATGTCTTTGGTATTTATTTATTTTTTGTCCAAACAACAACAGAACACAATGTGTAGGTAATGATGCGCATGTCGCTTAAAAGCCCACAGACCACCTTCTCCGGCCGTTCGTCGTACTTACTATCCACTTTGTCACAATTTTTCACACGGGTTTTCCAATCGCATGTCTGACGATCAATGTCAAAAGCTAATCCTTGCGGGCATCGGACGCCCGCGAGACGGGTAATGCCGTTCTCGCCTGCTTGGTCACACCTATTGTGGGCATCAATCATAAACCAATAAAAAACAAAAATACAAACATTTCGGTTCACGCACCCGTGGTTGCGGCGAGAGGATATTTAATTATTATCTTAACAGTGTCGAAACGTCACGTGATGGTATCATCGACCTATGTCGTGCGTGCCGTGTAAGACTTGTGAGTGGTACACCACATCGGATTTACAGAAAAAAAGAAACACCTCCCACCAAAAGTCATGTGATGCAATAGTATAACAAACGCATGTTTATTCGATCGTTGTGATATGCACATAGGTTGGACACACGGTTTGCCGCTTGTACACCCGACATTATAATATAATCGTCGATGTGTAACGATGTTTTGGTTTCGTGTTAAACGCAACGCAGTAATTCCAATAACGAAATTCGATTTTACATGCGTCTGATGACAATCGCGAACATTTGTCCGGAACACACGTTCGCAATCGTGCACCGCGTTTAGTTTTTCCGAATGTCTGAAAATATTATCGTAATCGGGAACCGTCGATCGGAACGAGTACTGATGAAAGAGCGGGAAAATGATTCCGGAAAATCGGTGACCATCGTACATAACAGGTAATGAAGGTGGAAAAAATTTAATTAAAAACAAAAAAAAAAAAAAACGAAGTCGTGGTAGGGCTTATACGTTCACTACGGTCGCGTATTATCATTATACACGACGCGATGATGTAACGATTGTTATAACGTAATGTGATAACGGTGTGTTCGAAGTGTTATATTTCTAACACCTAAACGGGTCTGAGAACCACTAGATTAGGCACTGCCCTGAGAACGTTTCACGGTTGAAACGACTTACAGTTTACTACGTCAAATCGATTGACACGTATAACACCTATAGTACACAATATTTATGCATTACGTTGTTACGCGTTTGTTCGTTGGACACGAAGTGCGTTGCGTACGCATCGTGTTCACACGGTCGGTGAGCTCGAATATTTACCTCACGACGTCTCTGCAGTCGCCTTCAGTGGTCAAACGGAAGTATTCGTCCGGTGGTCGGTTCTTGCACAGTTCGTCTACCGACTGTTCGTCACCTTCTTCCGCCTGACGTTTCTCTCTGAGATTCATAAATCCATCGCCTGCGCAAACGCATACACACAAAACGATTATTTCCAAACAAACTGTTATGTTTCACTATGTTCGTTCGATTGCGCGTGAATCGATGATGTGCACACGACGTGCAGGTACGGCCGCCATAATTATACAATACTCTACGACCGCGGTTTGGTAAAATAAAATAAAAATTATGAACTATTACAGTTAACGTTTGAACGCGATTCCTCGGCACTCGAATAAATAATGAGCGCACGCTACTGTTCGGGGGGGTTTTTTTTTCTATAATGTGAACCGAATATTTTAGCAATCGCCGTGGTATCATTACAAGTCGTTTCGTTACGATATCACTTGGACATGAGAATAAATGTGAAGAAAACCAAAGTACTGATGTGTGATAGAGATAATAGAACAAGATAAAAATACGAAATCAAACAGTAGAAAAATTTACATACCTTGGAATCAGCAATTATGGAAGAAATATAAGCGAAACAATAAAACGTATCCGTCAAGCCAAAATAGCTTTTAACAATAAGAAAACTATATTTACATCGAGAAACATTAGTCTAAAGACAAGAAAAAATCTACTGAAGACATATGTATGGACATGTGCATTGTTAAGAACGGAAGAACTAAGAAGACTCGAGGCGTTTGAAATGTGGTACTATAAAATAATGTTAAGGATAAGATAAGAATAATCAATGTATGGAAATGTATTGGAAAAACATAGTTAGAAGACGAAATGAACGGATAGACCATAACACGAGACACGAGAGATTGTTAAAATTAATTATACTCGTAGAAGAAAGAGTAGAAGGAAAGAGCTACAGGGAAAGCACAAGATTCGTTGTACAATAAAGGACCTAGGATGTAACTCATTCTACAGATTGAAACCGTAGAGAGAGAGAGAGAGAGACTTATTTTAGTCGGAACCCGCGGTTCATCGGGAACATTATTATAACAATGCGCTCCGGGGACACGGCGATTGATTCGTTTTTAACAACCTGTGACGCGTTTGCATCACAACCCGATAAAATAATGGGCCGATCGGACGGCAGTCGCTAGCGCGGCCTTGTGCCGCGGGGAAAAAAGCGCGTGAATAGAAAACGCACAACGGCGCACTGTAACAATAACAAAAACACAAATACTCGTGTACCATCCATCGTTCGCGGTACCAGGTTACGACGACAACAATAACGGTGCGATAACAGTAACAATGGTTAACAACAACGGTGACAATAAGGCAAATGGGACAATGTGCGCGCGCGGTCGTGTGGGCGCGAAGTGCTCGGTTTTCCGCGCGATCAACGTTGAACGGTATTTACAATATAAATATCAGTGCAATATTGTTTATATTTACTGTTGCACTGTTGACGAGACGATAATATTTCAAACGCGAATTGTTATCGCGCGCGCGCGCCTACTAGCGAAACCGTCGGGCAGGGTTTGGTCGCGAGCGTACGTACGTGCGGCGCGGCCGAGTCACGTAGCCGTGTGTACGCCCATTGTTCGGGCGAGACTCGGGTAAAAGGCGTTGGAAATCGGTAGACGATGCGGTAAACCGTAGCGACAGTGTCCGGCAGGACGCGCGCGCGCGGGCTTATTGTAACAATGCGAGTGGTCCGCGAAAAGAGAAAACCTTCGGCGCGAACCGAACATAATGTGCGAACGCGGTTACGGGCCCACTCGAATGGTTCACAAATACGCGCGCGCCAGCACGTATGGTGTTGCGTTCGCGCGTACCTGCCACACGTGTGCTGTACGGTCGGCGCACGAACGAAATTAGTATTCGACTTGGACCGCTTTCTCGAAACGGGTGAGGTGAACAAACCCGATCGGTTCGCCGGCCAGGTACCTTTACGGCGTGTACCGCGCGATCGCCTGCGCGCATGCCACGCGGTGCACAGCGATCAGTGCGGGGGCGGATTGTTATGAGACCAGCAGCCCGTTACTGGTCCGAAAATAAAAAGAAAAGGGTCGGTGTACCATGGACGGTTCACCGAGGAATAAATGTGCGACGCGCGTTTTACTATGCAATACTAATTGTTTACAGCGCAAGTCGGTGGTAGCGGACAACTACGTTTGAGTAGTGCCTGATAATAGCTTGGTAAAATTGATTCGGTTTTCTGAACCTCGGCGAATTATGTCGTGCCCGTTTCGAGTTGGAATTTTAGATCTTTCGTACAAAACGTAACGTTGCACGTAGGCAACAGCGCGAGCGAACAACATGTGCGGAGCACGCGGTATAGAAAGTGTGCGGAAAAGCGGAAAAACTATGCGTGATTTGCGTTCTGTGCTGTTCGAAAGGTTCCGTCGCCGCGTTCGACGGATAAAAAATATACTATTATCGTTTCGACATAATATCACGATTTCACGTCGAATGAAAAATGCGATTGCAAAAAATACCGTAATCCGAGCGAGATAGGATCGTATCTGGAATTCACCGTCGATCATATGTTAAATACAACTCGACCGTTCGTGAAAAATACAAACACGCCTGCACTGGTGTTGAGAATTATTTTTATGCAATCAATCGTAAATAATATGCACTGATGCAACGGTGTTGCTGCACGCGCGCGCGTCAGTATAGCGACAAGAGCAACGAACTCTTGCATATGTTTGCCGGTTTTTTTTCGTGGCGAGTTCCTTTCTATTCCTATTTTTATTTTGCGCGCCGCCGTCGTTTAATGCATGATCCATGGACGTAAAATCGGCCGAAGAAAACGGTGAAAAGGACAACGAAAAAATAATAAACAAATAAATTCATAAAAGTGACTTCGAAACGCTTTTCGTCGCCGAACGTTTCCACGCGGGTGCAGAAAAGAACGACGTTGTTGGATGTGAAAAATATTTTTTTCTTTCTCGTAATTGGACTCAATTGGACCAGTTTTACTTCGCGCGAGATATTTTCCAATTGAATATTTCCGTTCGTGGAGACAGATAGAGCGAGAGAGAGAGAGTAAGAGAGAGAGAGAGGTACGTAGAAAAGCTGGCGGACAACGAGAAGAGAATCGAAAATTACGGAAACCGAGCGGAGACAAAAAAATTAAAAAAATACAACGAAAAAAAATTGAAAACAATAGAAAAAAAAACGAAGCGGACAACACGTCATGCATGGTCTCGCAGTAACAGAACATCATCGCAGTCGCATTCGCGCGCGTTCGTTTACAAGTGCGTTAGGTATACTCACAGTTGTTGAGCGCCTGGAACAGGCACAAGAGCGCGACGGCCAAAGCAGCTTTTCCCGTCATCGCTACTGCGTGTGGGTTCGTGTAATGAGCTGCGCAGACCAGCACCGCCGGTGTATTAAACGGGCACGGTCGCGGCAACGTCCGCGGCAGCGCTAACCGTCCGATCGGGCGGCGCCCTGGCCACGGTTACGGCGGTGCGCGGTGGTCGGGGACGGCACAGGCTTTTTCGGGTGGTGGTCGTGGCCGATTGCGCGGCCGCACGTGGGTGGGGAGCGACAGCACTCAGGCCGCTGTTCCTGCCGGCGGGAGGTCCTTTTCGCGCCGCCACCGCCGCCTTCTCCTCCAACTTCTCCGGCGTCGTCGTTGTCGTCGTCCTTCTCGCGTCCTCCTGCCCGTCCTCCTACTCCGCCGGACGGTCTGTTCTCTTGCGCTCGTGGATTTTTTCGTGCCCGTCGTCCGCGCATGCGCCGCTTTCACCGCGGACGCCTTGACTACTGCACGGTCCCGGCGCCTGTTCGCCTGTCGTCCGCCGTCGTACGTACGAGCACGAGCATTGTCTTGACCGGACAAGCTAACCTAACCTGTGCACGAATCCAAATCTTGAGGTCCCGTTATACATTTTTCTATAGCGATTAAAAAAAAACCCCAAATTTTTTGAGAGGGAGAGATTTTTTAAATTTAAAAGTTTGCATAATATACGGGTCATAAACGCCTAACTGAACATGATATTTGATTATTTAAACGAATAATTTATACAAGACCATTATACCAAGGGTATATTAAAATATTTAACGTATAGTGGAACCTCGATAATAAATGCCGTTCCCTTTCGAACGCCTCGATTACCCGATAGAAAAACTGTAGATAACTCGAATGTTCTGTGTTCGAATTCTGCTTTCTAAGTCAAAGTAAGATAAAAAAAAGTATCAATTATTATATTGCAACACTATCTACACATTTCCTATTGCATTTTTTAGTAAGCATTTTAAAATAATAATTATAACATTACACACCGTATTTATATGTAGATATATAATAATTAAAAACTACAATACATTTTAAAAACTCTTTAAGTTTAATTTTTTCCCGAAAACCTTGATAACTCAAGAACTTAGCAAGTCGAAAAATTCGATAAGTCGAAAAGAAAAAATTGCATTTCCCTCGAAGTTCGACTTATAGAGGTTTCACTGTTGTTATACTCTACCTATAATATTATACATAATACTTAGGGTATGTTATTGGGCAAAAACTACTAGTTGACTAAAATCATTAAAAATCATTAAAAACATGTTACGCGAAAGAAAATAAATAAATATTATATTTTTTCCTAAGTAACTAGTACACAATATTTTCATATTGTTTTTTTTTTCATACTATTTATTATGTGATTTGAAACATTCGATAAATTATTGGTAATGTTAGTGAAAATAACGTTGATTTCGTTCGATTAAATGTATGTTAATATGTATGATTTTATTTATTGACATTTTCATGCCAGTTATTGGAAATTTTAACGCCCAACAATGTAGTATAAAGGTCACGGGACCCATGTGGAATGCACAAACTCTGCACACGAGGTTACGTAAACACATGCAGTTTGCCGCACCGTTTGCACGGATTTCACTGCCGCTGATGGCGTGACATTTCCCCGGAAACAATGTTTTATTTATTTATTGATTTATGTCAATCCATTATTTATCTATTGTGTGTTTATCAGTATTACTTACGGTGTCAGGAAAACCGTACACGGAATAAAATGGCGTCATTTCAGTTCTTTTCTAGAGCAGGGAAGTAGACGTGCTCTCATTAAATTGCCGACTCGGCGGCTCATTTTACCGAAGTACCGATTATTGTGGGAGTAGGAGGACGTTAAACCAGTCTAAAAATACGATGATTTGTATTTTATACATAAGTACATGTCTTGTTTTTCTGATTTACAACACGTCAATTGGTTTTACAAAATACGTGTTTTTTATTTCGATGATATGCCAACTTCGGAGTAGCTAAACTCTAGGCTTTGAAATATGCATGAGTTTCTTCCCCCCTAATGACGCCCCTAATGGAATATTATTTAATGGTGTAAAGGTATCGAAAATGCGTGAGGTACGGGAAAAAGAATGAACGTCTTAGAACCGAATAAAAATTCCAACGCACACCCTACGGTCAAGCGCAGCGTTCATCAAACTGGTTGATCCGGATTACTTTACGTCCGGAGTTTAATGCATGTTTAAACGGCTGTTGATTCGAATCGAGTTAAGTCGGTTTGAGCTAAAACGGTGTTTGGTCCATTCGTGTTCGAGAAATGCGCATTAAGTACAACACGCGGGTAGTGTAAAAAATGCATACGCTCCTTTCTTGATTCGCACCGTTCCAATGCGAATAAAATGAATTGCAATCGATGAACGCGCGTAAACATCAATATCGAATCGGACACTTCCATCGACATCTTTCATCCCGCGTGAATTTACTCGAATCTATCGTGCAACTCTACGGCTAGCGGCTGCGCACTTCGCGTACGATTTATCCGTACACACTGCGCAAGCACATTGCAATGGTATAATAGTAATACGTAATTACCACGATGATATAACCGTATTTTGTCGCCAGTTGCGACACGAGATTTTGATGGAGCATAAAAAAGAAAGAAAAAACAGAAAATGAATTACGAATTCGTTTTAATGATTATTAAATTTACTACCATGTACACTTTTTTCTGGTCGATACTGCGGTGGTGACCATACTGCGATTGCCGTACGCATGCGGTTTCTCCGAGTATATGCTGCAGTGTACGTGCACGCAGTGGCGTATCCAGGATTAATTTAACGGGGGTGTTTTAAAATTTAATCAACTCATGGTAATTGGGGGCCTCTGCCCCCCTCGTATTACATTAATAAATACCATGTATTCATATAAATGATTAAATTAAGACAGTATATGTAAAATCTACAAGTTGTATATAACGATTATTCAAATTATACTGTAAGTTTGCAATTTGGTGTAACATAACCATAAAATACGGTCGATGGGGGGTGTTTTAACACCCAAATCACCCTCCCTAAATACGCCCCTGCGTGCACGTGCACTGTTGCAGTTTATTACTCGCGCACACGCAGTTTACTTAAGATATTTTTAATTAGGTTATTTTTTCCTACTGATAAATTATATTTGAATGTGGTATCCCAACTTTCCCGACTTATCCGTATTGTATTAAAGATTGGAACATGGTAAAGTACGTTATTCTAAGGAAGTTAAATGATTTTTTAGCTGTTAGGTTAGTATGTACAGTGAGTTTTGTTTTTTTATTCGTCGCAGTTCTTAATATTATTGTGTTCCTCGAGTCAATTTGTTCAACAAATGGATCTGAAGCTTTATCGATCGTATTTCCACCAATAAATGCTATCCCACAACCAGTGGCGTAGCCAAGGGGGGGGGGTAAGAGGGCTATAGCCCCCCCCCCCCTATGGGCTGTGTTTATATGTATAATGTATCTTGACTATTTAATAGAATCAATGGATATTCGTTTTAATCAAAGGCTTATTGATGTTATGCCACTTGAAGGACTTATTCCGGCCAATTTAAATATGTATGACGATAAAAATATTATAAAAGCTGCTAAAATATATGTCCAAGATCTTCATGATGATACTTCATCTACAATCAGAGCTGACCTGTTCATATGGAGGCAACAATAGAGTCAAAATACTATTCCAAAACCGAATTCTGCTCTTGATTCACTCTCTCATCGCACCAATCTTCGACCTAACATTAAAATAATTTTACAATTATTCGCCACGTTACCAGTTACCTCTTTCACTCCGGAAAGAACGTTTTCAGTACTTAATCGTTTAAAAATTTTTTTAAGAAGCACTATATCGGAAAACAGACTGAATGGGTTAGCTATGGCTTATATAAATAAAAAAAGAGCAATTCGATGAAAGTGAAATAATAACTGAATTTGCCAGAAATTCGCCTAAGAGGATGCAGCTGTCAGAGTGGAGCAAGGGACTGAACACTAAAACCAAAATTATTATTATTATTATAAATAAATATTTTTAAAACTATACTAAAATGCTTGAATTAAGTTTAGAAACATGGTGGTAGATGGTGGGAGGGGGTTAAGGGTGAATTCTCGTATCCTCTCTTACCTTACTTATCCAAAAAAGTGGTTAGCCCCCCCCCATTTAAAAATCCTGGCTACGCCACTGCCCAAAATACTACGTAAATAAAGCTACATCGTTAATGTTTAAAACATTTTGATAAAATGATATCAATGGAACTTGAGAGTTTATGTTTTTAAATCGAATCTATTATTTAGTATAATATCTTTAACAAATTGACTGCCGTAATATTTTAATAGGGTTCTTCTCACACGCCATGAGTATAAAATAGGTACTCACTAATTTTGTCTTCTATGCCGATTTATTTTTGAATGGATTATAACGGAGAGCTGTCCATTCCAATAGGTAAATTGAGCATTAACAGTGGTTTTCAGTAGCGTAATTACGTAAGACTTTCAGCACCAAAGTTGACATTCACAGCTTGAGAGCCGAACAGTAGAGAACTTACGAGTATATTGGTACTCAAAGCGTCTAGAACAAATATGATTAAAATATTGAAGTTTACAAACCATATACTATATATATATATATATATATATATATAAGTACCTATTGTGGTACTCGTGGTAGCCAGTTTTTTAAACAGCGGGGATGAGTCTAAGTCCAATGAATATAAATTTAACACAAATTGATTTCGGAATAAAGATTCTGAAACATATTTTAGCTTTTTATTAGTAGAAACTCGTGATGAAGACAACCTTAAAAACGCTGTACGATGTAGATATTACATACAATTTCGACGTTTTTGTCTGTGTAATACGCACTAGTTATTGGTCATGATGCTCTCGATTTATAGTAGACCAAGCTAGATATCCGAGTTATACAATATTGAGTTTAAAAATTGAAAATTAAAAATGCATATTTTGCAAATTTCCTTAATTTTAGAGAAAAAGTGCATATTTCGTCGATTTTCATTGATTTTTGCATATTTGTATGCATATTTAATATTTTCTAAAAAAATTAATTTTTTCATTCTTAACTAATTTATTTTAAATAATGTTACATAACACA